AGGGTCAGCCCTGCCCTCCACCCCACCCCCCTTTGATGTGCTGATGCTGACTGCCTTAGCACCCCACCAGGGATAAAGGGCCTCCGTTCCCAGCCCTCCCCCATGGCCATGGCCCAGCTCCTGCACCCACAGCTCTCCCAGTCCTGGGCTGGGACCTCCCTCGGCCTCGGCCTCGGCCCGCTGCCCCAGCTCCCGGGAAGGCTCGTGGCTCCCAGCTCCCGGGGTGGTGCGTGGCTCCGGGAAGGCGTGGGGTGGCCCACGGGGTTGGGGCGGCAGCCTGTGCGAGAAGCTGCGCACCCTGGCGCACCCTGGTGCGCGCTGCTCGAGCTGCGCCGCTTCCTACCGCCGTCCGTGGCGCCCGCCGGCCAGAGCCTGGCCAGGGTGGAGACGCTGCGCCTGGCCGTCCGCTACATCGGCCACTGACGGCCGTGCTGGGCCTGGGCGGGGACGGCCGGCGCTCGGGGCTGCCCCCTGTACCTGGACGGCGGCCGGGCGCTGGGCCCCCACTGCGCCCGCCTAGGGTCCCCCCACACCTGGGTGTCGGCAGCGGCCGGGAAGGGCAGGCTGTGGCGCTGAGCTCCTTGTCCCGGGTTACTGCCTCCTGCCCAGCTGCTCGCTGCTCGCTGTCCTGCGCCTGACACTCAGCCCCGGAGGGCAGGGACCACCCCAGCACCCTGCCAGCCAGCCCTCCAGGGCGACAGAAAAAGGGGCCCAGGCCACGTTGCCGAGGGAGGGAGAGAAGATTTGGGGCACAGGGGTCTTCCCCTGCCACCGTCCCCTGGGAGTAGTGCCCCCTCAGGCCAGGACACACCCCTACCCCCAACACCCAGCAGCCAGCACTGAGTGCTGCATTCCCCCCTGTCTCCCCACAGCGCTGTCAGGGCTGCCTGCTGGTCCTGCTGGCCCCTTGGATGCCCCTGTTGCTGGAGTCGCTGTCGGCTTGAGGACTCTGAGCCACAAGGGGCACCTGGCACCCCGTTTGTGGGCACTGAGGCCTGAGCACCTTGGCAATGGCCCCTCTGCAGATCCCCTCCCTGGAAGAGGCATGGAGCCTGTCGTGGAGCTTGCTGAGGGCCAGGGCCAGACTCTGCCGGCCCACCTGGCCCTGCCTGGCCCTGCCCAGCCCAGCCCTGCCCCGCCCTGCCCTGCCGTGGGGCGGCACCCGGGGTAACGTGTTGGGCCAGGCTCTGCCTGGTGTCTGCTTATTTATTCGTGAATAAACCGTGCTGGTGTCAGTTGAGCAATGTCTTCTTCCTGCATGTGGACACAGCTCCCTGTTTGCCTCCAAAACACACAGGCAGGGGAGCGGTTCTTGCCAAACTAGCGTTTCTTGTTCAGCCCCCAAAGTGCCAGGCAGGCTCAGGACCTTCCCACCGCGCCCAGCCCCGGCTTCCGGCTCCTATTTTAGGTGCTCCCCCCTGGAAATTGGTGTGTGGGGGCCGCTTCCTATCCCGAAGCAGGGCCAGCAAGGAGCTCCGTCCATCTTTTCTTTGAAAGACAGAAGGCTGGATCAAAGTGACGTTATCTCTGCAATCTCCGCTGCCAGGGTTATGCGCAGCTCCCCCACCTCCCGTACCAGATAACCCCTGTGCAGAAGCCAAGGTGAAGGCTGAAGGGTCCTCAGGTCACGTGGCACTTCAGAGCTGGGTTGGCTCATGGGCCAGAGGGGCCGCTCCCAGGGGCCATGACTACCCCGCACTTATTCCCTTTGCTCCGGAGCCGCCTGGCCTGGACTCTGGGATTTCCCCATCTCCCTTTGCCCAGCTCCCCCCACGTGCTTCAAGAATGGAAAAGTCAGTGGGGGAAGGGGGTGTGGGCGGGTGGGGGAACCTCCCAGAGGCCATCGAGGGAGGTGGCAGGAGGAGAGGCCTGGTACTGGTCCAGTTCTTCAGGCCGCAGGAACCGGTAGGTCGGCCTCAGCCTGGATGGGCATCCGGCTCTCCCCTCCACCCCCTCATGTGTCTTTGGGGCATTTGCTTTTCTTAAGAGCCCTGTTGAGCTTTTAGCTCCTACCCTATGCCATTGAAAGAGCACAGCTCAATGGGCTTAGTGTGTTCACAGGGTTGTGCAACTGTCCCCACTGTCCTTAGGACAAACATGTTCGTCACCCCCTAGAGAAACCCGTACCCCTTAGCAGGACTCTCCGTCATCGGCACACGCCCCACGCCCTCCCCAGCTCCCTCTTCCGTGTCCTGCCTCCGTGTTAGCCGGGTCTGGGCACTTCACGTGGTGGAGTCGCACTTTCGTGTTTTCGTGTACTGGGGTTCCTTGGCTTCCCCACAGCACCCCACTGTGCAGCAGCTGCGGCTGATCTGGCTTCCCCTGGTGTTGATGGGTTTGTTTTGAGATCACCTCAGAGCTCATTTCCAGTGCTCAGCCAGGCCAGACAGGGAATAATTCGTGTTGGGGGGCCTCTGCTTTGCATTTGAGGAGTTGGGGAACCCTGGTCAGCATTTGGTTGCAGAGAGTGGGGCTCCCTGCAGGGGGCGGGACCTCACATCTTCACTGATCACCCTCTTTCCTGCACCTCCACCCCCAGTCCCCCTCAGGGCCCTAAGTGGGGTCGCGCTGTCTCCAGGAGTCTGCTCCATTTAGACAATCTATTTGCATGGCAAAGACCCCGCGGCCCAGGACAGGGAATTAAAGTTATTAGCAAGTCTTTTCACAGATAAGTGGGCGCAGAGCCAGCCCCTCTCCTGCGGAGCCTCCCTCCTCTTCAGCCCCAGCGCCTGCTGTTTATTAGCACCTGGGTGTGAATTTTCATTAACATGTCCCCGCTAATAAGGCAAGGTCGGAGACGGGAAGGGGTCCCGAGCCCCTCCCGGGCCAGCCCACTGCACCGCACCGGAGGAAACCCACCACGGGCAGGGATGGGGCCTGTGTTCAGCTGGGTGGGCCACGCGCTCTTAGTTCTCAGTGCACCTGAGAGGCCCCCAAAGATGGCCATAAGGATGAGGCTCATGTGCCTGCAAGGCTGTCCAATGGCAGTGTTGGAACTGGGGTGCAGATGCACCCCAGAGCCCATGTGCTCACTCCCAGGGCACTGCCTTCACCCTCCAGCCTGTCTCCCCTCCATGGCAGGGTGCCCTGGTCTGGTGTGCCCTGGGCACACACCTGCGAGGAGGAGGCAGTGAGGATGGCGCCTGCCCGCTGCCCAGGGTCCGCTCCCGGTGCTGCCGGCAACGCCCTGCGCTACAGGAGCAGGGGCCCATGGAGGCCGGCCGGGCGGGCTCCGGCGCGGGCGGATTCCTGCATTTTACCTGTGGGCTGCAGGCCAGCTGGGCAGCTGTGCGTGCACCTGCCCTGCTGACCAGGACACAGAAGCCCGGGAAAAGGCCAAGGCGTCGTGGGGGCAGGGACAGTCCTGGCAGGTTAGCATGTGTGTGCAGGTGAGTCCTGGGCACGCCGGCCCCCAGGGCCCCCGCTGCTGGCCACACGTGTTTCTCCTTGGGAGATGCCGTGCTGTGGTGCTGCCGCTGGACAGGCCTTCAGCTGGTGCTGATTCCAGGAGTGGTGGCTAAGCTGATGGCTCAGGAGGCGCCAAGGGCACACAGTGTGAACCCAGGGGCTGGAGGTGGTGTAACAGGGTGGTCCCCAGGAAAGGGGGAGGTTCCCTGCCCCACCCAAGGGAGGGTGGAGCTGAGCAGGAAGAAGAGAAGCTGCAGAAGAGACTGAGGAAGGAAGGAAGCAGGATGGAACCAGGAGACCTGGAGGAGGCGCATGGAGCCGAGAGACACGTGAAGAAACTGCGCTTGTCTTTTGGTCGTGGACGGGGGGACACAGATGTGGGGGAGACCCGTGGGGAGGTGACCATGGCAGCTTTTATCTTGATGTTGATTTTGCTCTTTTCCTTCCGGGCTTGTCTGGTTGTTTCTGACCCTTTTCTGTGGGTCCCCACTGGAAGGTGCTTTAGACTTGTGGCAGGCCTTGGGGCCTTGCTCTGGGCCAATCCCATTTGGATGGACTTTTACCCACGAGGGGACGGGTCACTTTGGGTGCTTGACTTAGAAACTAGATTCTCTGCCTTTCCTGTATTGTTTCCTAGTTTTATTAAAGTTCCTTCCCCTTAAAGTCTCCTATGTTTTCTGTGGATACGGCGGATGGCGGAACCCATGTAGAATAGGCAGGTTTGCGGGGTTTGGGCTGCCCCTCTCCCTGTCCTATAACAGATTTGTCGTCCAACGTGATTTAGGATAGAGCCATCCGTGGTTTGGGCTGCCCCTCTCCCTGTCCTATAACAGTGGCAGTTGGCCATGGCAGACTGTTCTGGAAGGAGGGGGGATGACATGGCTCGGCCTTGGGAGCACCTGGGGGAGGACTGCGTCCAGAAGTTGCTGGGGTCACGTTGCTAATGAGCAGGTCCATCTGAGGGGTGCACGGGGACCCAGGGCTCTGAAACCTCCCTGCTGGGACTTGGGTAGCCCCGGGCTGGTGGGGTGGGGGCATGTTCATCACCTGCAGCTCTCACGGGAACCACACGGTGTCCCCAGAGGGCAGGCAGGGCCTTCCAGGCCTGGACGCGCCACCCATTGTCCCTCACCCGGGGTCCCCGACCTGCACCTAGTGTTCCCGGCACCCGCGGTCTCCAGAGGACAGATGGGTGCCTCTCTGACCCGCTCCTGTGCCCCTAGTTCCCTCAGCCTGGCCGAGGGTCCCAGGCTAGCCAGCAAGGGGCAGCAGTGGCCCGGCTCCAGCCACCTTACCTGGCCCCACGTGTCTTCTCTCACTGTGTGGCCTCAGGGGTCACCCAACCACCTGAGCCTGCCCCTCCAAAGCCAGTCTGTGAACGTCATGACCAGAACAGAGGACAAAAATGTGGGGGAGGGAGGGGGGCCCCACAGCCGCTAGGGTGGGCCTGGCGTCATGTGAATCGAGGGGCTCTCCTGGTCTAGAAGGTTTCACACGAGGTCTGGGCTCCTGGTGCAAATCACTGCAGGGCACTGCTGGGTGGAGAGCCGGCAGGAGCACAGGGTTACACACCACAGCCACGTGGAGTCCGCAAACAGGGCCGTTTAATGCGGGGGACAGGCAGGTTAGAGGTCGAAAGCTCCCCGATGATACCTGTGCCCTTGGCCCTGTGGCAGACCCGGAGGGCAAGCCCAGGCCCAGGGCCTCTGGAGCTGCAGCCGTTGTCACTGGGTGTCTCGCGACAGGGCGTCTAGGGCTGAGCCTGCCGTGCCTGAGCCTTTTCCCAAGAGTCCAGGGCAGTGGCTTGGTCACTTCTTGAAGTTTTCTCTTTGGAGGAAGATGGAGAACTTCCGAAGCCGTGACCAGTGCACCTGCTCTTCCGCCTTGTTCTTCTCCAGCTGCTCAAACCTGTAGGCCACACAACTAGAGGTGAGCGGAAACTGCTCTGTGCCCCGGCCTCCACACCCCAGCATCCCGGCCTCCACACCCCAGGACCCCGGGCTCCTGGGCCAATGTGAGAAGCCCCCAGAGGACGCGTTGGCTTTCTCTCTCAGTCCCAGGACCCAGCCCTGTGCACAGCAGGTGATGGAAGCACCAAGGAGCCACAGGCCTTGCTTTCACCTAGGGTGCGTGGAGAGGGGCAGGGAGATACTGGGGCTCATCTCTTTGCAAACCCAGCCTTACTGCAGCCAAGGAACAACCCCACTTAAAACACATCCGAGCACCCACTAGTGACAGGCACCGGTGCACGCTGGGGGCCCTTCCCCATCCCCAGTTTGGTAAGGGCGGCAGGAGCAAAGTGCCCGTGTTATAGGCTGCATTTAAGGCGGAGGGGCTGGTGCAGGGGGAGGAAGAGCAGAGCCTGCCTGGTGCTCGCAGAGAGAGTCGAAATGGCTTTTTAAAAATAAGAAGTTTTAAAAATATATAACAAAAACCCCACACGTTCAGTACAGGGAAACCAGCACACGCAGGTCCTGGGGGGCCAGCCGGCCGCGGCTCTGCCTGGGGGGCAATACGGCTCGCTTAGGACAAGCAGGAGGGAGGCTTTGGGGGAGAAGGACAGCGGTTGCAGTGTTGGGTCTGTTTGGGGCTCTGCCGAGGGACAGAGTGGGGCGCATCCTGCCTGTCGTAAACGTCATCTGACTTCCAAAGGGTCCTGAGGTTGCTTAAAACAGCCCACCGGCCGGAGAGGGGTGCGGCCCAGCAAGCCTCCCTCTCGCTCAGCTTCTTATCTTCACCCCAAAGCCTCGCAGCTGGAGGAGCCGGCTGGCTCGTGCAGAGCCCTGCGGTCTCTTCGGAAGATGGAGGGGGCAGCACCCCGCGGTGCCCCCGCTTTTCACTGAACCATTTCCCCAGAGTCACGTCTGGGGGGCTCCAGCAGCAAGCCTGGGAGCTTGGCGGTGGGTGGAGCCGAGGCCCCTCACGGCCGAGGCCCCCTGCCCAGCCCTGGCCATTGCAAGGAGCTTGGGCCTGAGCCCCAGGCCTCAGCGGGGCCTGAGGGAAGACGGGAGGTTCTTTCTCGCCAACACCTGAGGCTTCCTGCTGAACAACCAAAATGGCGCCTTCCCAAGACAGGCCAGGAAAACGCTGCTGAGCAGAGTAAGAGGACTCTTGAAATCAAAAGAAAGGGAATCCCCCCAGCGCGAGAGACTGCAGGCCTCTCTCCAGGGAAGGAGGGAGACTGTGGGGGGCACCGACAGCGGCTCCCCCTCCTTCATCCCCGATGAAAATGGCGTCAGCTACCAAGTGTCGACCCTCACTTCTTGGCCAGTGAGGGAGGTGAGGACAGGGTGACCCCAGCGCTGGGGGAGCAGGGGTGTGGGCTTGAGGGGCACAGAGTGGCCGTGGTGAGTCTGGGGGGCACGTGGAGGACGGTGAGGGCTGGGGTCGCGAGCAGGTGTGGACACGGCCCTGGGGCGGCCCCTGCAGACCCTGAAGGGTCTGGTTGCTGCCTCCCAGGGGAGCACGGGAATGGGACCAGGGGGGCGGGGGCGGGGGTGGCAGATGCCGCCACCGCGGCCGGCCGGGAGCCCAGTGGGGACCCGCCTGTGGCTGAGCTGGTGGGGCCGCGGCCGCCCCTGGACCCCTGGGCCGGCTGCCCGCACACTGGCGCACGGAAGTCCCCGCGGGTTTCGTCAAAACAACTTGGACGATTGCAAGCTCGAAACTCTGAATCTATTGCCACATGAATCCTCTGCCTCCAGGTTTCACCCAGCTTCTGGGCCAATGAAACCGCTCCAGACACAAGGAGTCAACCTTTTTTAAAAAAGGGGGAAGTAAATCTCTGGGGTGGAGATGGGCGCGAGCGACAAACTGACGACCGCGAAGCGCCAGATCAGACCTCACTGTGGTCTCGGGGTGCGCCCGGCTGCTTCAAGTCTGCCGCATGTCTGAACATTTTCATGAATATTGGGGGAGTCTCGGGAAAGCCCCAGCTACGGGCCTCCGGCCTGGGTAACGCCCCACAGCGTGACCGTGTCCAAGTGGCTGCTCCTTCCTGCGAGGCCCTGGAGAGGGCAGGGGCCACTTCTCCCAGCTCTCCCATCCCCCAGCTCCCGTGGCTCCTTCAGCCCCCGTGTACCCGGCCCCCAGAACCCCCAAGCTCAGTACCTCTCCACCCCACCAGAGTGGAGCCCCCCGAGTGCTGGGCTGTGGGGCTTGGAGCTGCTGGGGTGACCGGAGGAAAAGCAGCCGGGAAGGGGCAGGCGGAAGAGTCTCCCATTCTGTGGGGTCCTGGGGTTCCAGAGATGGGAGGAGACCCGGGCGGGGGGCGTCTAAAGGCTCATCAGAGCAGGGGAGAAGTGGCCGTGAGATGCGAGCTCTGCTCAGCAAAAACGCCAGGAAAGACCAGGAGGGAGACAGACTTTCCACGGCGCTGGGGTCTCTGGTGATGGGTCACTGGTAGTTGAAAAAGTTTTTGGTATCATCCCGTTTCTCGAACTCCTGCCCACGCAGCTGTAACGTGCCAGAAATGGCACGTCTCGGAGTCTGCGGCGGGCAGCGTGCTGCGCTGCAGGCCGCCCAGAGCCACCGGCAGTCCCCAGGGGAGGGTGGCTCCTGGGGGGGCAGGCTCACCCCCACCCGGCAGCAGGAGGAGGTGGACAGAAGGACAAGGTCTTCCACACAGGAGGGCTCTGGCCCCCAGCAGGAGTCCAGAAGGTTCCACGCTGTGACCCCACCCCGAGAGAATGGACTGGAGCCAGTCACGGCCTGACCTCCTACTTGCGACTTTTTTTTTTTTTGCCAGTTTTTGAAGTTTACCAAAATGATGTTTCTCTTCTGTTGAAAGTCACAAAAAAGGAAAACAGAAAAAAACACACCTCGAATCCCCCAGTACAACTGCTGCTGCGCCCACATCTGGCCCGCTCCCCGCCAGGATACACTACGAGCAACTATCTTATCACCACGCGGTAGATTTTTATTTAAAAAAGTTTCAAACCTCCAGAAAATTCAAAGCTGTGCAGTGACCCTGCGCCGTGGTGAGCGCCAGCCCCCTCTGTCCCCTGCCCCTCTCCACCTTCCCCTGGACCCCCGAGTCAGCTGTAGCATGACGCATCATGGTACTGCACCCCTAAATTCTCCAGCTGCGCCTCCTAAGAACAAGTAGCCAACGAGGGTCCAGACCAACCTGCACGCGAGAAATGACCCAGCGTCTGGGGGATCTTTAATCACTGGATTAAACGGCGCCCCCTTCATGTCTTCCTCCCCGAGACCTCAAGTCTGCTCTGGTGAACCGCTCGCTCCCTGTAGGACACCTGGGGGCCTCCCCGGCCCCACGGCAGCCTGGAGCCTAGGGGGGGCCCTCTCCCAGCCCAGCGGGGGCCGAGTGGCGCCCAGGTCTCAGTATGGGAGACCTTGGCCTAAAGGAGATGGTTAAGGCCGCCGGGGTCTCCCCGAAACGCGCTGCCCCCACCTGTGGCTGCGCTACCTCTGCTGGAGGAAACTCTCACACCTCTTCTCCAAGGACAGGACCGGGGGGAAGGCCGCGTCGGTCTCAGCCTGAGACATGGTGCAATATCTTGTGTTTTCCAGGAGTGGGTAGGCCTCGAAATTAAAATAGAAAAGAGAATTTTGGAAGTTGCTGGCCTCGACGGTCTTGATTTCATCCGGATGGTGGCCTGAGATGGAACAAGAACAGCATGTCCTGGGTGGCCACTTTCTGGCACATGGAGTCGGGGTGGCGGGGCGGGGCGGGGGCTGCTGTCTTCTAAGGGCCGGCACTCAGGGGCTCAGGGGTGCTCCTGGTCTGAGCAGCAGGGCTCCCGAGAGAAGGCCCCAGCACAGGGCGCCAAGAGTGGGCGCGGAGAGCGGGTGGGTCACGCTGTGCTTTGTGAGTGGCCGAGAAGGGCGGGGCACCGTCAGCAGGCCACAGGACAGCGCGGGCAGGCCCCGCCGGCCCCGCCGGCCCCGCCCGTACCTCGGAGCAGGAAGCATGGGTGGTGTGAAGACACGACGAACACCGGCTTCCAGGGGGTCGCCAGCGGGCAGGGCCTGGGGAGACCAAAGGCACAGACCACCTGGGACCTGGCCACGTCCAGGAGCTGCAGGGAGCCGTTCTTGGAAAAGGTCAGCACCTGGAGCACAGAGGTGGGGAGAGGGGACCGTCCCTAGACTTCTCTGCCACTCACCCCCCCACCCCCAAAGAAAAGGAGCAGCAGAGCACCAGGCACCCGGCCCCGCCCAGGGCTGCTGGGGATGCAGCCGCTGTGTGAGCTCGCTGCCCCCTCGGCCGCCCCACAGGACAGAGCTCAGCTCTGCATCAGGGCTCCCGACACCCTTTCCCCACTCCGCGGGGACCCGGCTGGGTCCAGCCACCCCTCCTGAGATGCGAGAGGCCGGTTCCTGCTGGGGCTTCCTCTTTCTGGATGATCAGAACAAACTCGCCCCCACCCCCGCCCCCCAGACCCTGCTGGCCCAGCCCACCGCCCCTGCAGCCTCCACACGCATGCTGGCCTTCATAGCCCCCAAGCTTCCTGGACACCCTCGCGGCTTTCCTGGGCCCCCTCAGTCACTTGGCAGCTCATTTCCCTGTCCTGGGGTGCTGCTGGCTCCTGCGTTCTCTGACCTGTGGCTTCACCCCCTCACTCCGTTCCCGCCGAGGTCGGCCTCACAGCCTCCCTTGGGCGCAGTCTCGACAAGGCTGAAGGGGAGTCGTTGCCTCTCTAGGCCCTCGCCAGGCTCACCCCGTGAGCAACTTCCCCTAGGTGCCCTCCAGGCTACAAAGCGCGGACCTCCCCAGTGCCCCAGTGCCGTGGGCCTCTAGCTCTCTGCCTGTCCCTGGTGCCCTCCCTCCCCGCCCTCTGGGAATCCAGCCCTTGCTTGAAGTCTTGAACTTCCCCCGGGTCTGGGGCACACCTGTCCCCACCCCCCCAGGCGCTGCCCTCTTAGCCTCCCTGGCTCAGCTCCTTCCTTCCTTCTTCCAGAGCCGCCCCTCGCCCCTTCCTATCTGCAGGCTGAGCCAGGCGCCCGCCCTCGGCTCCACAGCAGCCACGGCCTAAGGCCCTGCGGCCTTGTCCTCAGTCTAGGCAGCTGCAGGGCAACCTGTCTTCTCAGTCGACTGGGCACTCCTTGAGGGCAGGGACCTCCCCTCTCATGTCTGGGTTCTCCAAAGCTAGTCCGGTGCCCAGCACATAGTAGGCCTTCAACAAACATTTCCTGGAGGAAAAGGGGCACAATCCTGAGGAGGCCCAAGGGCGGGAACCTACCATGCCGGGCAGGGCTGGGACTGGGGCGACGGCGCAGATGGCATCATCGGGGTGCCTCTCGGGCCTGCAGGGAGAGAGACCAGACATTCGCGCCTGCAGAGGCTGAGGCTGCCCTCCCCAGGCAGGCCCGGAGCGGCTCTTGTACAGAATCATTGGATGTGCACAGACTGTTCATGGCAGCAAAGACCCGGTGCCGCCAGATCTCCACGGAGGGACACGCAGCCACGAGGCTGGGGCCACGCTCTGCGCATCACTCGAGCAGCAGCAGACAGTGAGTAAAGCGGCCACTTTTGGGGAGTGGAGAGATGGGGAGAGGAGCTGACGGTCTAACTGAGCGGGAGGTGATCGGAAGCTGGGGGGCATGCATGGGGTGGGGTACACCTCGTTGTGCTTCACAACGCAGCTAACAGAGCTTTTGGTGTGTGTGAAATATTTCACAACTAAGAGAGACACCCTCCAGGAAACTGAGGAAAGTCTATTTTGGCAGAAACGACCCTCTTCCTGGTCACATGGGATATGTGCCCTTGACAGTTTTGTCAGAAAAATGACCCCTCTGGACCTCCCCGGTGGCGCAGCGGTTGAGCACTGGGTTGCAAAGCTGCCCGCAGCCTCTGCAATCCGTGGCGCGCAGACCTCTCCTGCCGCCCGCTGCTCCCCTCAGCAGTGTGCTTCGTCAGTCTGCCTGCTCTGCCCCCCGCTCTGGCTCGGTGAATTCTCTCGCCCTCCCACGTGAGTGCTTGTATAAATAAATACAAGTGCTTGTATAAATAAATAAATAAATCTTAAAAAAAAAAAGACCCCTCTGCACGTCATGGGACACGGTGATGGCGACCGGGGGTGCGTGGGGAGCGGGCCTGGCCCGGAGAGCTCGCCAACCTGCACCGTGACCCGAGCCCCCGCCCAGCAGGCCCTCCAGCCTCCAGTCCGAGCCACCCACCTGTGCACCAGCCTGTGGATGGTGGGCCCCTGGGCCCCCTGGGCCGCCACCAGGTGGAGGGAGGCGTCTGTGCCCAGCACCACACACTTCATCCGGGACGTCACTGGCCTGTCGGGGTATGTGTTGCGTCCTTTGTGCACCAAGAAGTATCTCATGAAGTGAATGCTCTGGCAGAAACACCCCTCTGGCAGCGCGACGACCCCGAGAGGTGATCCTGGAGGGGCCACGGGCGGGTCAGGCAGGCGGCGGCCCTAAGGGGAAGCCCAGGCCCAAGGCCGGGCTCTGGAGGCCCCACATCCCCCCACCCCCCTGCTTACCTTTGGCCAGGTCCCACAGCGTGAGCACCCCGTCTTCGCAGGCCAGCACCAGGTAGGTGCAACAGGGGCTGAGCTGGGAGGTGGCGATGGGCGCGGCGCAGGGCCACACGCCCTCCGGTTCTGGGGAGGACAGCAGCGCCGGCTCCCAGGCCGCCCGCGCCCACCCTCGCCCCGCACCCCTGAGACTGGTGGGAGCGCATCTGGACTCCGCACCTCACTCGCCCCCGGGCAACCCTCCTTCCCGGAGAATCGCGCTGCAGGCACCTGTTCTTACCCCCAGACACCTGGGGCCCAGCAGGGACTAGCCATCACCCTCCCCAGGGCCTAGAGGCAGCACCTCGGGGCCCCCACTCCGAGGCAGGAGCCCGCACGGGCCTGCCCATGGCTGAGCTGGGACGTGGGGCCGCGGGTCCAAGGGAAGCTGGACCTTTGTGGGTTTTTAGACATGACCTCGGAGGCTGGTGCTGAGGACCCCGTGGAGTGAGCCTGAGCCCACAGCACCCCGCGGCCAGGGAAACCCGGAAGTGAGTGGCCGCCGCTGAGCAGTGGGCTGGGCTGGGCTGGGCTGGCCTCGGGCCTCAGCTGCCCCGGCGCTGGGCTCTGGGCTTGGGCTCTAGTGAGCTGCGGTCCTTAGGAAACATGACCCTTTGGGGGCGGCCCACGCTGCCCGCTCTGCTCCCGTCCCCAAGCCGAGGGGCACACCCATGGGCGGGAAGTACCGACTTTATCCTTGAGTGTGCGGTTCAGAGGGTAGAGGAAGAAGTTGTGGCTTCTGGTCCAGTGCACGCCCAGGGTGCAGGCTACCCCTGGCAGGGAAGAAAGGAAAGGGTGTCACTAAGCAGCCCGGGGGCCCTCGGGGGTGTGCAAGGGGCCTGCCCACGAGAAACCAGTCTGAAGTCTGAGGGGTTGATGCTCATGGGCAAACTCCCGTTCTGGGAGGGGGGCTGGGCACCAGGGGGCTGTCCCTGGGCCCATGCCTCCCTCCCAGCAAGGGGTCACTCTGGCTTGCACGCCTTCTAGATGACTTGCATCCACCTGCCGTCAGCGTTGGAGTAACACCTTCTCCCGAGCGAACAGACGTGACTCACCCCCCTCCATGGCGGCCGCACCCTGAAGCTGGCGGGGGTCCCCCACCTGGGCCATGGGTCCCCACGGGACCTGTTGCACTGTAGCTGGCACCCGCCTGCCCCTCCCACCCAGGGGTGCTGGGGTACTCTTCTGGGTGGGCGTGCTGCAGTGCGTCCCAGGGACACACGCCCAGGACAGCCCCTGTATCCTGCCCACTTACCTGCGGGGCTCTGGGCGTCCGCCAGCACCGCAGTCAGGCAGCTGGGGAGGAGGAAGTGGACGGTGGCCACGCTGCAAAGGGAGAGGCACAGTCAGGGCCGGGCGGGCGGCGCAGAGACACTGGCTGGTCTGGGCCACGGACAGACACTGGACCTTCCTGGGCGCGGGGCCGCAGGCAAAGCACAGTCGATGTGCAGGTCCTGTGGGCCCAGACCTCGGAGGCCAGTGAGGGCAGAGTGGGCGAGGCTGAGGAGCACAGCCACCGGGGGTCTGTCCTTGGGGATGACCCCTTCAAAACTAGTTGGGTGAGGGGCCACGCCCCCCCTCCCGAGGCCCCCCAACCAGCGGTGTGCAAATGTCATCTCCCGAGTCCCAGGGCCGCGGCCTGCTGCTGTGTGGTCACGCCCGCATGGACAGCCGTCGGTGGCCCAGTACAACCCTCCGGCTTGCTCGCTCGCTCAGCGTCCACACCGCGCCGGGTTCCGATTCCGGCCCCGGGTGGGTCCCCCGGGCTGAGCCCAGGGCTGTGTGCGTTGAAGCAGGACAGCGAGCTGAGAGGCTCCCCTTCCGCAGTGGAGAGCACCCCGAGCCCCAGCCAGGGGCTGGCTCCCAGCGGCGCGGCTCCGTTCCCGCAGTGCGGGGGGAGCGGGCAGACGACGAGGTTCGTGATGCCCGTGCCCGGGACACCGGAGCCCCGGCCGACCCCAGGTGTTAGGACAGCCTCCCTCGCAGGAGCTTCCGTGACCTCCAGGTAATCAGCCGTGCGGAGGCCCGGGGAGCTCAGGCTGGGGCTGGCCCCGCGGCTCACCTGAGCGGCTCCTCCTCCCACTCGCCTTCCAGGTGCTTCTTGTAGGTGGCGTTGAAGACGTTGGCCCGCCGCTCCCACTGGCTGTCCTTGATGAAGTGGTTCTGCCCGGAGCCCAGCCCACAGCAGTCCTCCACCTTCGCGAAGACCTCCAGGGGGCTTTTAAACGTGGTGCCTAGGTCGAGACTTTCCAGCATTGGGGAGACTGTCTGGCTCCCCCCTACCTCCTGCGTACTCCCCTGTTTCCTGCAGAATCCCACCTTCTCAGCCATCCCTCCCTGCCCTGCAGCGGCCTGTCAGCCCAGGGGTTCATGCTTCTTGGGGCCTCTCCCCTGCCCGCTGCCCATGGAGCTCCCATGGGGCAGCTGCTCTCCTTTTCCCAGTTCCACCCCTCCTTCCTGCATCATCGCCCCAATTTCTGGATTACAGGTCTCCAACGGAGGCCAAGGAAATATTCCTGATGTCCCCGGAGACCTTAGATGATGGCCGTTGTCTCCCCAGCTCAACGGGCCCCCAAGTCTGCCTGCCTCTGTGCAGTCCACCTGCTGGGCCTTCACGGTCAGGGAGCTGGTCACCCCGACCCCCATTTAGCTACCCAACTACCAGTTTCCTTTCTCTGCCACTTTTCTTATCACCCCCTTTCCTATAATTTCCTTCTTTTTCATCTGTTCCTAAATCCACAGTAAACCTGGGTGATTTGTTTTCTGGGTTCACACCCCAATTTTGAGAACATCTCTTTTTGGAACGTGCCTGCGGTGCCCCTTCCCCAGAAGCAAAATTGTTATCAGTTTCTTGCACACTTTTATAGAAGGAAGCCGCGTTCTTTTGGATAAACTGAGGGTAGCCTCTTATGCTCTAGTGCTGCTTTGTTCCCAGGTCAGCAGGTCTGCCAGGAACTTGCTAGAATTGCAGACTCTCAGGCCCCACAGAGACACGAAACTCTGGGGTGGGTGGGGCGCAGCAATCTGGGCTCTAACAAGCCTTCCAATGAGTCTGAGCCTCCGAGGTTTGAGTGTTGCTGTCACACACGCGTGTTTTCATTCCACTACCTGGAGAGCCCCCATGTCAATACGACACGGGGTCTCCTCATTGTCCACTGTTTGTTTTTATTGTTAAATCTCTTCTTTATTGGGAAACATAATACACATCATATCTTAGTACGTTGCTGTAGAGCAAACACCTGTCTCTCATTGCCTGCTCTCTAGGAGCTTTTGGGTAGCCACTACAGACCATGCCTGGAATTGAGATGTCGCTTCTATCAAATAGAGTAGATCAGGGGGCTGGGGGTGGTGGAGAAAGGCAGCAAAGGAAGAAACTGAGAAGCAAACAGCCAGAGGAAGAGCTGAGTCCTACTGACCTGTGATTGGTTTGGGGGGTTTGATCTTCATGATGTGAACCGGCAGAGTCAACTTACTGTCACCTCGAAAATAAATGTCTGCTTCCTACAGCAAGGAAAAGGCACAGCTAATAAGCCAACGGTGGAGAAGCAACAGAATCATTAAACACGCTCGCCCCGAAGGAAGGCTGAAGAAGAGGGAAAAGGAAGAAAAACAGATGGACACTAGAAAGGAAAAGGCCGTGTGGCTGTAAGGGGCAGAGATGGGGTGGTGGCGGGCACGACTTGAAAGTGCTGCCACCTGCCTCCCGGGAGCCGGCTCTGCCCGGTTTGCGGGGGCCCTGATAAGCAGCGTTGAAAGAACTACCAGTTCTGAGAGAAAAACTTCTTGAAAAGCAGCTTCAACTCCTCATTCTCTCCCTCCCTCCAAGGCCAGACCCCGCCCTATGAAAGCTTGCCCTCATCCCCCAGGGCGCGACTTCCCAGACCCCCAGCGCAATGAATTTCCTGCCTCTCCAGGGTTTGGACACCAAAAACATGCTTTTAAATAATCCACTGGTCAAAAAAGAAATAAAGTAAATGTGAAAGTATTTTGAAGTATTTTTGGAAATGAAAACATGACTCAAGGAATGAAGGGTGCAGTGGCAGCGACGCCGACAGCCTCCATCAGCCGGCAAACCCGCAGGACGATGACAGAGTTCAGTGAGGAGGCCAGCAGTCCCGGAGGAGGGCAAAAACCAGGGCGGTGCCCACCGGCAGCTGCATGGCCCGAGAGCGTCTTCTTAGAGCCGGCCTCAAGGCCTCCCCTGGCCCTAGCACTGCTCATGCGTGTGGCGGGCTCGCCGTTCGGCTGCCTGGACCCAGGGGCCTTTTCTGCTTTGAGGGGCGCCTGAGTGTGAATCCTAAAGAACTGGCCTCCCTCTGGGGAACCGAAGGGGCAGGGCACGCGACAGAGGCTCGACCACGCGCCCTCCTGGCCCAGGCCTGTGAGAGGGACCCAGTGATGGTGGAGCCACGATTCAGGGGAGCCGCCAGGCTGGGAGGCGCGTGGCAGGGCCATGGCGGGAGCCCCCAGGGGGTGCTAAACACGCCTGCATTTGAGTCCTGGCTTTGGCGTTTTCACTGCCCATCCGCGTGGCTCCTGCCAAAGTTCTGAACTTGATGTGCTTCCAGTTTCTTTGTCGCAACTAAGGATCTGGTGGGCACAGGCAGAGCCGTGGACCAGCAGTCACCAGTCAGAAAATGTGGGTGGTGGAGTGAACAGTGCATTTAACCCCTCTCCCTGCTGGCGCCCCATTAAGGTGACAGGAATTTTAATTTTTCATTTAAGTAATAAATTCAAAAGGATTAAAGAGGAGACCGAAAAACAAGAAAATTTCAGAGCTGGAAGCAGTGGCTCAGTGACTTAGCAGACCCAGGGAAGTTAGATGGGAACCCAGGGAGGGACACCGCCTCGGAGTCACCTGCTTTATGCCTCAGGCCCCGTCCACTCAAGGAAATGGCCGCTCCAGGCAGCTGGTCTCTGGAAGCTGAAGTGGTGGGGCTGGCAATGGGAGGGGTAGCTGGAAATCTCTTTATGAGGCAATGAAAGTGTTGGACTCCCTCTTTAACTCCACGTAGCCAACAGGATAAAGTTGAAGTTGACACACTGGAGGTTGAGGCCTTGGCCCAGCCCAGCCACCTTCCCCAGTTGGCCGGAGAGCAGAAGAACCGCCCCGGCAAATGATCAGCCAGAAAAGAAAGAGTCCGAGACACAGCTTGGGGGACAGAGCCCATGCAAGACAACAGCGAACAGTTATCACAAGTGTTTTCAGAGGAGCCACTGTATGCAAACATTAAATGAGTAAGAGGGAGGAGGGCAACGAAAACCCGGGGCCTCCCTGGTGGCGCAAAGGGTTAAGCACAGTACTATGAAGCAATCAGCAGCTACTGCAGCACGATTTCGATTTCGATCCCTGGCCAGGGAGGTGACCCACAGAGTGCAGCAGACCTCTCCTGTCTCCCCGCTGCTCCCCTCAGTGATGTATTTCAGTCAATCCACCTGTTCTGCTCCCCACTCTGTCTCTGGTGAACCCTCTCACCCCCCACACCTCTGGCCTATGCCCCAGCTCTGGTGTGCATAAATACATAAATCTTTAAAAAAAACCCAACAAAACAAAAACCTCAGTGAGGGGGGTGCAGAGCCGATGAGCTCTCCCCAAAGGTAGAACAGCAACAACAAACATCTGTAAAATAGACCGGAAAATATACAATAAGATCAAAGCTCCAAAGTTCATACAGTCTGGGTGTGGCAGGAAAGTATTTGGATGGTACAGGCTAAAGCATACAGGACACATATCGAGGAATGACAAAGATGACAATTCAGAAGCACTGGGAAAAGATGGAGTACTCAAAAATACTGGTGTGCCAGCTGGCTACTTGAAAAAAATACATAAATAACTTGTTCCCTTCTTAGTACCATTCACCAAAGACGCTCCCTTATGAATTAAAGATTAAAATGTCAAAAAAAGAAAAATCTACGAAAGTATAAGAAGAAAGCACAGGAGCATTTATGATGTTGAGATAGAGAAAGCCTTTTAAGTGCAATGGCGATAAAGATTAAAAATTCTGACTATATCAAAACCTTCTTTCCAACAACAAAAACTACAGAAAGTAAAAAGGGGAACAACTGATTGGAAAAAATGTCACGTGCACAGGCTACAGCCTGGCAATTAGCAAAAGAGAGAGCCTCAGTGACCAGTAAACTATGATGAGATTAATGAAAATTAACTAACGCAAAATGCCATTCTTTCCCGTCAGTTTGGGGAAAAAAACACGACACCAGGAAGGTCAGCAAGGCTGTGGAGAAATATTGATTCAATGTAAACCTTCATGCCGTTTGGGGGCACAATTTAGTGGCATCGACATTAAAACTAAAATTGCACGGCCCTCCGGGAGCGCTGGCTCGCGCGGGAGGGGAACTTAGGGGTCTCCTCACGCTGCGTAAGAGCCGCAAACAGGACAGGCTCAGCATTGTCACAGGCCAGGCCGGGCACGCCGAGGCACGTCCAGAAGGGGCAGGACAGCCACGGAAGACTAAAGAACAACACAGTTCATTTGGCATTAAAAAAACCTCACCAACAAATGGTCTAAAAACAAAAAATGCAGATTTGTAAGGACATATACATCTAGCAGAGGTCACATACGCAGACAAAAATTCCCACGGAAAAGCGATATTTTTCAAAATGAACTGACACCAGAATGTGTCCACCAGAGATCTGGAAGACACAACCAAGCCAGTCACGATGGTTCCCTGCGGAGAGGGTGGCTCGTCTGAAGGACCAGCTTCTCCTAGACGAGTGCGTTCACATACTATTGACATACATCCGAACAGCGCAGCTGGGAAGGCGGTGAAGGGGGGCTCTGGGGCAGACCTCGGTCGGCTGCTGGTGGAGGTCTGAGCCCCCAAGCTGTGTCTCGGGCTCTTTCTTCCCCGGCTGATCCTTTCCTGGGCCTGGTTCTTCCCATCTGGGCCAAGTGGGGAAGGCGGCTGGGCGTGGGGGTGGGCAATGGTCTAAACCGCCAGGACGTAGGAGCTGCAGGAGGCTTCTCCCTCTCTGTGTCCTTGACAAAAAGGGGAGCCCCCAGAGAGTTCAGCCGGTGGCCTGGCTGGTGTTTTGGCAGAGGCGGACTGGGTTTCACGGGGCCTGAAGTAAATACAACTGGGCGTCTTTAAGAAAAAGGACACAGGCTCTCCTTGGTGGCGCAAGGGGTTAAGGCACAACCTATGGGGCCTCCCTGGTGGTGCAGGTGGTTGAGCGCAGCACTGTGAAGCTGTCTGCAGCCTCTGCAGCACCGGTTTGATCCCTGCCAGCCTTGGAGCAACTCACATGGTGAGCAGACCTCTCCTGACTCACCTGCTGCTCCCCTCAGCAGTGTATTTCATCGATCTGCCTGTTCTGCTCCCCGCTCTGTCTCTGGTGAGTCCTCTCACCCTCCTGCGCATCTGGCCTGTACCTCGGTTCTTGTATAAATAAAATAAAATCTTGTGGGACCCTCGCCGGTGGCCGGGGATTGAAATGGTGCTGCAGAGGCTGTGGGCAGCCTCACAACCCAGCACTCAACCGCTGCACCACCAGGGGAGGCCCTAAAATAAAATCTTTAAAAAAAAAAAAAAAAAAAAGACACAACCTATGAAGCTCGCTGCAGCCACTGCAGCACGAGTTCAATTTCTGGCCAGGGAGCAACACACGTGGCGCAACAGACCTCTCCTGTCTTGCCTGCTGCTCCCTCAGCAGCGTCTTCGGTCCTTCTGCCTGTTCTGCTCCCCACTCTGTCTCTGGTGCATCCTCTCACCCCCCCACATCTGGCCAGATTCTTGTATGCATGAATAAATAAATCTTTAAAAAAAAAAAGAAAAAGAAAGAAAAAAGGACACAAATGCCCACGGCCCCCAAGGCCCACACGGGGCACATGGCCGGGGGCTTGGTGGAGGGACAGCGCCCAGGTGACTGTGGGCGAGAGCAGCTCCTTGCCCACGTGCACAGCAACACGCAACCGCGTCCCGGACCCACCCCCGTTGCCTCCCTGAGCTCCAGGGAAACCCGCCACCCCCGTGACCGCCACCCTTGAGGACAGGCCATCTGGGGTGGAAACGAGCCCACAGAGCCCTGGAGACAGTGTCCGGGGGAGCCTTTAACTAGTTGATATTTAAGTGAATTTCAAGCAAAAAAAAAAAAAAAAAAAAGAATCTCAAATGCAAGTTAAATTTCTCTGGAAGTTTTCTTTAAAGTTTCTTACCATTTCTAAATCATCTGGTGTCAGCGGGTCCACTGTGTCCTAAGGGGAAAAAGGAGAAGTTAGTCCAGAGTGGCCTGCTGTGTGTGCCTCTGGGGAACCTTCCAGATGCTCTTCCCTCGCCCAGCTACTCCGGGAGAGGGGAACCCGGTCACTCCAGGGAGGACGGCTGGAGCCTGGCCCTCTGGCCTGTCGCCTCTCGCAGCTGACCCTACTCTCCAGCACCTGGAACCTTATCAGGGTCACAGCTGGACGGCTGAGGACCCTGAGGACAGGGCCAGGGGCCATGCGGAGACCCTCACGGAAATCTAAATTGAAGCGGGAATTTCTGGTGGACAAAAACCCCAGGCGTGTTGAGTTTTCTTCCGCTAACTTGCAGGTGCCTCGGACAACCCTCCAACGGGCAGAGTCAGCTGCTTCTCATGGTGAAACTTAGCACCTACTACTCTGTTTGAGAGGCGTGTCCTATCGGTATTAGCAGCTTGACAACATAGTAAGTGTGCGGCGGGTAATTAGCAAATTAAGTCTTAAAATAATATTTACTGAGGCCTGGATCTTAAAGACAGCATGAGGCCCAGGCATCCCCTATAATTAGCCTGAAATGGCGGCGTCCCTGCCTGCTAAGAACCACGGGAAGATTATTTGTCTTCCTGCAGGTCGAGAACAACCTCTTTACACCAGTCTGGGAAACTTAGTGGGACTCCAAGCACAAAAGGACTCTTCTAACCCAAAAGGGGAAAACAAAATGGCCTCTGAGGTAAGGGTCAGGACGGACCCTTCTCCCAGAGAAATGCCTGGGAGGGGTGTCAATGGGGAGGTGGCTCCCAGGGGGGCCTGGAGGCCAGCTCTACTTGGTGACAGGACACCCTGTCCTAATGGGGTGCCCGCTGCTCCCGCTTGGGCTCCCGGAGGCCTGGCTGCCTTGGGGTCGCTGGGGCCGGGTGGGGTCGGGCGGAGGCCCGGAGGGGCATGTGCAGGACGCGGCATCCCTACCACCAGCAGCTGTCTGACGACTGTCCTGGGATTCGCGGCCTGCTGAGTGTGTTCGGCCTCCTTGAGCCAAGACTCCCGGGGCAGCTTGTACACGTCCAGCCAAGTGTCTCCGGCTCCTGTGCAGGACACCGAGGCGCGCTGAGCAGGGCACACAGTCCGCAGCTTGCTTTTCCCGTAGTGCTGGCGCCCAGAAGATGGCTTTGCCCAGTGCAGGGCTGAGGGGCAGGTCACTGCGCCCCCCACCCCGCACCCCCCCCACCCTGGCGCGGCAGCCCCTCTCTCCACCAGTGCCTGAGAGGAGCTTCTGGGTGCTCCTCACCTGTGTCAAGTGGCCTGAACCAAGCTGCTGTGCCGCCCATGCCCACGCGCTCCAGGCCCCAGGCGGCAAACACCATGGGCATTTGCACTCACCTGTCTGTTACTGGGAGAGAGGTGGCCTGTAAGGGATCAGTATCTGAGAGGGAATGGCTGAGGGTGCCTAGAATGGGGAGTGAGGGCCCAAGGGAGCTCTTGAAACCATGTTTGAGATGACAGCTGTGCGGCGGTTGAGGGGCTTGATCTTGCTTTCCCAGGGTTAAGGATTCTGCTAAATGCGTCCTCAAAAATGCAACCGGAGCCCCTGACCTCAGACTCCTGGGGGACCGAGGGGGAGAAATCTCTGTGGTGTTAAGCCGCTGGGTGGAGGCGCTTTGTCACAGCAGCCCTGGGAAGAGGCTGCAGGCAGCGCAAGCTGTATAGGGGGCGCGACTTCTCAGACGACTGACATGGAGACAACTGACATGGGGGGCTGGGGCAGTCGTGGCGAGAGTATGCGTGCATCTAACTAACCAAGCAGTCAAACATCACACTGATAATCGTTGGATCGAAACGTGTGCTCACCACAGTAACGACCGCAGTAGGCCAGACCCGGTGATGAAGCTAACATTGGGGGCACAACTCTAGGGGTCCCCAGGACAGCTGCATGTCTCAAAGCATCTCCCCTGTGGGGACTTCAACATGTGTTCCAGAACTCTTTGGTCTTCCTGCGCCCAGGGAGCGGCGGGTAAATCCTCGCCAGGTCTGGACACCGGGACTTACCTCCAATGGCACGGTGGCCGGGGCCACCGCCACTCTCAGAGGAGCCCGGAGACCCCGCCATGGCTACATGACCAGGTCAGCACCGCCCGCAGACGCACGGCGGACACCCCCCCATGTGGAGCGGTGACAGGCCTGTCACCCCCGAGGCACAGTGGCGGGGGCCGTCGCCCCGCACAAGCAATGACAGAACCCCGTCACCTCTGGGAGCTCTTCCCCAGACCCTTCTCCGTTGAATCATGAGAAAAAGCATCTGACAAACTGAAACCGAGGGACGCTGCACCAAATAGCTGGCTGGTGTCACTGTAGAGAAAATTACGCGAGACCAAGCAATGGCCGCAGGGAGGCGGGCACCGGGGAGAGTGACAGCTCAGGGCACCCAGGGCTGAGCCTTGGAGCAAAAAAAAAATTAGTAGAAAAACTGGTGAAATTTGGAAAAAAAAAAAAGGCCCTAGTTAGTAGTGCGATACCCGTGCTAGGTGCTTGGTGACAAATGTTTCTCGGTCACTGAAGTGTGAAGTCAGGGGTGCTGGGGGAGGTACAGGGGACTCAGCCTTTGTGACTCTTCTGTAAATTATTCCCACATAGAAGGTCTGGGGAGAGGGTCTGCGGGAGAGGCCCCCGTCGGGACCTGCGGGGCCACGGCTGCCCTTGCCTTGGAGGAGGAAGGCCGCGAAGTTCCCTCCGGAAGAGAACGCCACCTTCACGCAGGCCATCTGCTTGCTGACGTCCTCCTGGAGGGAGAGAGGTGCTGGCAGGCTCAGCCTGACCCCTGGGCTGCGCCCCAAGCAGACCCTTCCCCGCCTCGACGGCCTCACTCCCCCCATTTCTGCACAGGATACGGCCGGACAGTGCGTGAAGAAGCGGGGCTCGACTTGAGGGAATGATTTTTGGATTTACTGCCTGGTTTCCAGGTGATGTGTGGTGATTTCTTACTATCTGATCTGGGGGTCGGGTGTACAGACCCTAGCTCCAGGCCGGCATTACGTTACCCAAAATGAGTGGAAACGGGTTCTACCCGACCCGGGGTGCCCAGTGGGCTGCGGGGGGCTGTCCTTCCTGGTGCTGGGACAGATCACCCCCGACCAGGCAGCTCACAAACAGCCCTGGAGGATGGAGGCCCAGAGCACCCCAAGGGCTCGGGAGACAGGCTTGTTGAGAGCCGGTGGCCACTTCCATGGAGAAGGCCGCCCTCCGCTGGGCCTCGCCTGTGGAGGGGGAGGGGAGACCTGTGCTCCTAGCCCTCTCACAAGGGTGGTGCCCCAGTGACTTCTCCCCTCCCCAAGGGCCCCCAGTATCATCACATGGGTGCTTAGGATTTAGCTTGAATGTTGGGGGCACAGATGTTTTGTTCGCAGCAAGTAGAGACTGAACGTGACCCTAGTGGAAACCTGCGCAGATTTGGGGCCATTGTTCTCGGTCGCCCTGCTTTGGAAGGTGCCTCAGAATAACAAAATAGGGGGCCTCCCTGTGGCGCAAGGGGTTAAGTCTCAGCACTATGAAGCAATCTGTAGCTACTGCAGCGCAAGTTCGACCCCTGGCCAGGGAGGTACCCAGACGGCGCCTGTCTCCCCGCTGCTCCCCTCAGCAGTGTATTTCAGTGGATGCGACTGTTCTGTTCTCCACTCTGTCTCTGGTGAGTTCTCTCACCCCCTGCATGTCTCGCCTACACCCCAGTTCTTGTATGCATAAATAATAAATCTTAAAAAAAGTGCTTTCTCTTATCAGGTATTTAACTACCCTGAAACAGAGTGGAGGTGGGGGCGTGGGGGCGGGTGTCAGGATAAATGCTTGAGTCTCTCCCCAATCAGTGTTCAGAATATTGAGTATGCACCCTAGAAAATTCCAAAGGTAATTAACTAGGCACAACTAACTGGTTGTGATTAACTAGCTGGAACTAACTTGCCACAACTAACCAGTCAATTAACTAGTCTCAGCTAATGAGTTATGCATTTAACTAGTCATATTTCCTAGTCGCAACTTACTAGTCACAAGTAACTAGCTAATTAGTTTTCATTTACGCTATTTTCTTTGAAAGATTTATTTATTTATGCACACAAGAGCTGGGGCACAGGCCAGAGGCGTGGGGGTGAGAGGACTCATCAGAGACAGAGCGGGGAACAGAACAGGCGGACTGAATGAAATACGCTGCTGAGGGGAGCAATAGGCGAGACAGAAGAGGTCTGCTTCGCCGTGTGGGCAGCTCCCTGGCCGGCTGGTAATTGAACTCGTGCTGTAGAGGCTTTGGGTTGCTTCACAGGGCAGTGCTTAAAACCTTGCGCCACCAGGGAGGCCCTTTCTTTTTATTTTTTTAAAGATTTATTTATTTATACAATAACTGGGGTACAGGTCAGAGGCGCTGGAGGGTGAGAGAGTTCACCAGAGACAGAGCGGGGAGCAGAACAGGCAGACAGACCAAAGACACTGCTGAAGGGAGCAGGGGGTGAGACAGAAGTCTGCTGTGCCGTGTGGGTTGCTCCCTGGCCAGCCAGGAATCGAACTCGTGCTGCAGTGGCTGCAGATAGCTTCATAGGCTGCATCTTTACCCCTTGCGCCACCAGGGAGGCCCTGGATCAGTTTCTATTTTCTATAGTTTCAGAGAAATGGGATCGGATGGTATGTGTTCTCTGCCCGGCTTCTTCCACTCAGCGAAGGGATGCTGAGAGGTGTCCATGCTGTTCCTGCACTCCTGGCGCCTTCCCGTAGCATTCCAGGGTCTGGACACTCACCCACCAGCCCAGTTCCGGGCCTCACAGATAAAAGCTGCAGTGAGTGTTCACCGCTCGACACACCCTTTCATTTCCCGATAAGCATCTGGGAGGAAAATAGCTGCATCCTAGGGTAAGCGCGTGCTTCATGTTTCAAAAGCCAGCAGAGCGGGTGCAGCATCATACCCCCCAGCACTGTGTGACAGTTCCGGGGACCCCTCCGCCAGCACTTGGCGAGGCTGGGTCTCAGAGCAGACTCCTGCAGGGCGGGGCTGTGCTCCGGGCTTACTCGGCCTCTCCCCAGACTCCTGCCATGAGCATCTCGTCTGCCTGCCCCAGGTCTTCTTTGGCAAAGTGTCTTTTCTTTTCACATCCTTTGTCCATTAAAGAAATTGTTTATTTCCTTATTTTTCGGTTTTTGAGCTCCAGGAGTTCTTTATATTGATATACTCAGGATACAGTCCTTTACAAGACATCTGATTTGCAATGATTTTCTTCTCTTTGTCTTGTCTATTCTTTTATCAATGACTTTTGCAGAACAGGAGTTTTAAATTACAGTGAAGTCCAATTTACCAATTTTTTTCTGGTATGGATTGTGATTTTGGTGTTTTAGCCAAAAATTTTTGCCTGACCCAAGGTCACAAAGACTTCCTCCTCTGTCTGCTTCCAGAAGTTTCAGTTTCAGAATTTACATATAGGTAGGTGATCCATTTTGAGTTAATTTTTGTATATGGTATGACGAACAAAAAGCCTTTAATTTTGATTGTCTAACATCATTTTTTTTCTTTCATGGTCATAGCTTTTCACACCCTGAAAAGTCTTTGCCCGCCCCAAGGTGGCAAAAACATTTTCCTTTGTTTTCTTCAAGAGCAATAATAGCTTCAGCCTTCACATTGAGGTTCCTAGCCCATCTCAAATTAATTTTTATGTGCAGTGTGAAGGAAGGTTGAGGCTGACTCCCCCCTTGGCTGAGCCAGCACCACCTGCTGGAAGCACCGTCTCCCCCACCCCCGCTCTGAATTACTTGGGTGACCATCAGTAGTATTTTCAATTAAAAAACCCTGAAATTCAAAGTCTATTCTGAGCAATATTGGATCCACTGACTCAGAATACACTTTCTGAGAAGCCCAGTGGAGGAACGCGGCCCCCGCCCTCAGGGAGCTCGTCTGCAGGGAGACAGCAGCCGAGCAGGCAGGCGGGTATGGACGCTGGTCACTTCCCCTCTCCGTGGTGGCCGCACGAGGGAGGGAGGACCAGCTCCCTCGGGCACATCAGGGAAAATACAGCAGGCATCTGAGCGGGTCTTGGAGACCCAGGCGCCGTGGCAGGGAGGCCGAGGCGTGTCCACGCAGAGCGAGCGGATGTGTACGGGGTTATCAGATGTGCTGGCTGGTGCTGTCTGGACCAGCGTCCCCGGGCGGTCAGGTAAATGCATCCAGGGTGCTCACAGGTCCCCGAGCGGGGCCACCCCCTCCGGACACCCTGGGACGCCCCTCTGTGAGGAGGCCCCTGCTGTGTGAGCACAGCTGCCACGGCCGTCCTCTTAAGGGCCACCTGACCTGCGATGACTTTTGGCCCAATGAAAGGTGAAAGGGCAGGAACTCACCACGTCATTGATGGCTTTGATGAAGAAAAGGCCATCCTTTAAAAAGTAAAGCAGTCTAACGACACCTGAAACAGAAGCCAGGGAGAATGGAAGAGAGTTCAGCCTGAGAAGAGCAGGAACTCCACAGCTGGCTTTCTGAGATTATCATCCAGCTGTTCCCCTGGTGGTGCTCCCCTCCCATCCTCGCCCTGGCCCCTGCAGAAGCATCCCCTAAGCACTCTGGCCACGCGGTCCACTCCGACCTGCCGCCTGACCCAGCACACCTTCCCAGCGCTGCGCTTCCCCCACCGGCTGGGGGGCCCTCCCTCCGGGTGTCTCCCCCTCTGTGCCTCATCGCTCAGCCCCGAGCAGGCTCCTCACGTGGCTTCAACTTATTGGACAGCACATGATTCTGTCACCGCAATCCCTGGCTACGCTCAGGGACCAGTGCCACGCACCGACTTCCTCCTTCCTGGAGATGCCCCCAGGCGCCCTCTCCCGCCCTACACCATAAATCACACAGGCCTGGAACAGGGACCGGCCTTTGGGTGGGAGAGGGTCTGACTCTACCCAGTGAACACCGAGGCCTCTCTGCTCCCTGCCCACACTGCGAGGTAGAGCGGGCTGCACCCTGTGCCCAGTGGCCCGACGTGACTGTGGCAGGAGCCATCCCAGGAACACGGGGGTCTGCCCCCCGCCCGCCTCCCTGCTCCCCACCCCACACGTGACAGCCCACGGCCTCCCACTTTCCTCTGCCCTTTCAAAGCTTTCTATTCGGCATGAATTCCAGCCTTTCAGAAAACAGTTCAGCACCTGTCTGTCCCTCACCTCACTTCCTCTCGTGTGCCATTTCACATAACTATAGTACAATTTCCCTTTTCATTTTAACAGCCCCAGCCTGGGTTCATGAACTCTCTTCTCAGTGAAGGCGATTGTTCTCTCAACTCATTCGGACTTTTCCAAACTCCCGCCAGGGTGTCCTTCCTCAAGTCCAGTCTGGCCAGGCCCTTCTCTTGGACATGGTGGGCCCTGCTCCCCAGGGGCCTGGACCACCTGGGGCGGAGAGGGAAGCGAGTCTGGCTGTGTGAGCACCAGGCGTGTGTGAGGGGTGGACGCTGGGGCCACGCAGCCTGACCCAATCCTGACCTGCTGCCCACTTTCCCTGTCGCCTCAGTGAGTTACCAAACCTCAGGGCTGGGCAGCCTCTTCTGAGAAACTGGGCAGCACATCGCACTCCCTCCTGGAGCAGCTGCGGGGAGTGTCTGGCACCTGGCACCCACGCTGTGGTGGTGTTGGTCCTACTACCTGACCCAAGGGGGTGCTGCACCTGGCCCGCCAGCCCTGGGGCAGACCTGGACAGCAGTCGACAGGTTTCTGAAACAAGGCTCAAAAGGAAGATGAAGAACAAGTACCCATTTCATCTACAGGAGCAATAAGCATCTCGTTCCCCAAATCCAAGACGCAGAGGGAAGTGACGGCAACCTTAAGCTTCTCCCAAGCGAATGCGCGCCTGGCAGTGTACAAGTTATAGATGGAGAATCCGCCGGCTCCGCCAACGAACACGTAGTCTCGGGAAATAGCCATACAAGTTGGCATTTTGTTGAGCTGGGAAAAAGCAAACAAAGAAAATGATTTTCAGCTGTCACTGTCTCCAGTAATAGGCGTTCACTTTTCTTTTTTTTTTTTTTTTAAGATTTATTTTTATTTATTTATGCATAAAGAGCTGGGGTGTAGGTGTAAGGTAAGTAAAGTATCAGGCTTTTCTGCCCTCCTGCCATTTGATTAAATGCATGCCTGATGGCAGGCACCTGGAGTAGGGTGTGGGCATGCATAGGTGAGTATACCTGGGCTGAGAGACTGGGCTTATTAGGGCGGCGTCACAGGGATGCCAGCAGGGCAAAAGAAGCAGAGAAGCAAGTCACAAGAGAACGCCAGAAGAATGAGGACTTGCAGGCTTCCCGGCACCCCGCCTGCCATGTGCCTGGTAAACTCAAAACCCTGAAAAAAGGCACCGAGGGCTCCAGGGCTTCTCATTTACCCATCTGCTCGGATCATAGGGATCCTCCACTGTGCCCATTCCTGCCACTACAGTAGGTCAGCGATGTGCAGGGGAGAGGACTCACCAGAGACAGAGTGGGGAGCAGAACAGATGGATCTACTGAAATCCACTGCTGAGGGCAGCAGCGGGGAGACAAGAGAGGTCTGCTGCACCACGTGGGTCAGCTCCCTGGCTGGGGATCGAACTCGTGCTGCAGTGCCTGCAGATTGCTTCATGGTGCTGAGACTTAACCCCTGCACCACCAGGGAGGCCCAGGCACTCACTTTTCAAAGAGGCACGTGGGCGTCCTGACATGTCTTGTCACCCCCCAAATGCTGGGCCTGCCCAAGCACCCTGCCCAGCAGGAGAGAGCCACCGCCTTCCACTGCCGGGTCAGGGCCAGAGGAAACAAAGGAGCGAGAACAAATGTGCACCCACCCGGGAGCACAACCGCTGGGCCTGACCCTCTGAAATACCGTGGGGGTGGGGAGGTGAGAGCTGGGGTCAACGTCAGGAAGCTGTTAGAGTGACTATGGCCAGCAGTGAAAACAGCTTCTGTGTGATCTTCAGTTTCCCCAGGCAATCACCAGATGCATTTTAATCGCCAGGGGGCTAGGATCTTTCAACAGCGCTAGCCAAGCGCATGAGAGTTCCTGGCAGGAATTCCAGCCGTGGGTCAGAGGCTCCCGACTGACTGAGAGCCAACTCCTCTGGCTGGCCCTACCTTGCTCTCCAGGAGGGGTGAGTAGAGGGTGGGCAGGACCTGGCTAGGCTCCACCGCCTTCAATGCGTCCCTCTCCTCAATAATTTTCCACGACCGCTCAAATAGGAGGTTCACCAGCTTGTTGATCATTCGATAAGGCTGAGGCAGAGTGTCCAGCTCCTGATCTGGGTCCTTGAGGACGTGATCCTCTTCCGCGTCCTTGGGCCAGTCCTTCTCTGCCGAGGACAGCACCTCCAGCAGCCCCTTGTGCGTGGAAATGGACAGCTTCGTCTTCTGGGACTGAGTTTCTCTGGGAGAGGACATCACGCAAGGAGGTGCTGGGAATGTCCGAGAAACGCTGCAGCGTTGAGAAAGGAAGTGAGTGAAGGACCTTTGGAGACAAGGACGGTCTGAAGACAGGTCGCCTCCCGCTCTAGCCCCAATGCCCGTGGCTCCCCTTAGTCACAAGGCTGCAGGTCCCTTAACCAGCACACCTTGGGGCTGCTCTTCTGTCCTGAGGGCACCAGTAGGGGCAGGTACCCACAACTCGGCAGCTGGAGGGCAAGTGCTGGGAGGAGTGGGGAGGAGCATTCCCGCTCCTGTCTGTACCTAAGAGACGAAGTGACTGTCTTTCTGTCCCCCAAAGAATTCACCCTTTGTGAAAGCCGAGGCTTCCTCCCGGTTCTCCCATCTCTGTTGTGTGTGCTCGCCCACCCGGGGCATGAGCCACGGCTTTGTCCCCTTCCTACTCCTCACCTCCAATCAGATGCAGCTCAAGAACTCCTGATCCTTATTATTTCTTCCTTCCTATTTGCACAGCTGTCCCCCGGAGTTCTGGAGAGATGGTGCCCAGAGCCTGTGAGCTTTCTGAGGGCCGACAGGAATGCTTGAGACATGGGGGGGGGGGGGGGAAAACAGTTTTGAAAATAATGAAGTATCTACAAAAATGTTTACAACATGTCAGCTCTACTCTGAACTTTATGCATATATAAAGTTTAAGTCTATAAGAAAAGAACAGGTGGGCCTCCATGGTGGCGCAAGGGATTAGGTCTCAGCACTATGAAGTGATAGGAGCCACTGCAGTACGAGTTTAATCCCCGGCCAGGGAGCTGACCCACATGGCGCAGCAGAACAGGTAGTGTATACTTTACAGCACTAAACAAGACAAAAATTATGAAAAGGCTTTCAAATGCCACAGTCAATAAGTGGCGTCACCGTGGAGCGGGGACTCTGAAGATGTATAACATGCAGGGACGTAGGGCTTCTTGTCCTGCCAGGGTGCCTGGGTCCACAAAGTCTCACAGAGGCCCACTCACCTTCTCAGCACCCCGAGACATTTCCATTGCGTGTAGGTGAGGTCTCGCTGACATGGGGGTGAGGGGTGGGGCAGTATATGAAGTGACTGGTGGGAAACATACCCAGAGCTCACACAGGGCCAGGAATAGTCCCTGCTTCACCAGCAGGCAGGGAGCACTCACCGCCTCCCGGGTGGGGCACTCAGAACCAGCTTAGCTCCCCAATCCAAATGAACTACTCTGGCGCAGCTCCCCCATCCTCGGGAGAGAAGTCAGAATATCAAGCCATCACTAACTTAATTGCATCCCAGAACAAAGCTCAGGAACATTTACAGGAATACAAAAAATCCAGCATCTACTTTAGTAAAATTCAAAATTTTACTGGGAGTCAATAAAAAATCATTTGGTATGCAAAGGGAGGCATACCAAGTTTTATCCACATACGAAACCTACCCCCAAAATATACTAGAATAAATGAGGTCAGAAGGCTGCAGGCTGAAAATTCAACATGCAAAGACCTACTGCATTTCTACATGATGGCAAAGACAATCATGGTTCCAGTCTTATCAACAAGGCTTCCGGTTGATCAGTCCCTGGGGCCCAAGGCTGCACTCAGTCAATGGTCCCCCGGGGCGGTCCCTGTCATACCTTGTGATGTAGCCCATTGTCCCAGGGCAATCCAGCCTCTGCTCTTGTTCAATTTGAAAGGAGCCTTGTAGGGTCTGGTACGCTACATTCTTTTAGGTCATATAACTGATTGACCCAGCTGTTCTGACCTTGAATTGGAATTCAGAACTGCACATAACAAAATGGCGGCCGAGCAGACCGCTTAAGTGTAGCAGACCCACAGATGTCCATGGTAGCTCAGTTTGCAGGGGCCCCAGATTAAAAGCAATCCAAATGTTTATCAATAAATGAATAAACACACTGTCATTCACATACTATATTCAATGGGAATAAAAATAGTCCAGCCACTTTGGAAGACAGTTGGGCAGCTTCTCAGAGTGGAATATACACTGGCCACATGAGGGAGTAATCCCACTCTTACATACTTATGTAAGAAAAACAAAAATTAATGCTTCGTGTGAAAATCTGTACTGAATTTATAATAGCTTTATTTATAAATGCTGGACACCACGCAGATGTACGTCAGTGGATGAACAGACTGCACTGCCTGAACTGACCTGGAATTTAGCACCCAAACATTGCCAGGAACCACATGAGCCTCTTCCCCAACACCTGAGGACAGACAGGTGCCAACGTGTACACCCCTAGACTTGAACGGCCCAGCTCTTTGCAGGGGTCCAGGCGGAACCTGGATGTGGCTGGAAGCAAGGCCGCTCTCCACCATGCAGGTGGGAGTCAGAAATAGGGAGAGAAGGCAAATGGGAAAGCTCTGGGGGTCCTTTCTCCTCACAGCACCACACGGCACTGTTTCCAGGTATTCCTGGAAGCCCGGGGATTTTGAAGGTGAAGCTGGACTTCCCGATCGTGATGTAGATCTGTTTGTCAAGAGTGTGTGGGACAATCCATTACCTTGAATTCAATCCTTCAAATAATTAAACATGGGGCGTCTGGGCCTGCCGACGCCAGGGACAGGCCTGGTCCGGGAGTGAAGACGACGAAGCAGTGACCTTGCACTTGTAAGATCACTGCTATGGAACGGGTGGTGCTCCACGTCTTCAAACACCACAGAAGCAACCTCAGGGGTGCAATTTCACTGCCAAGCTGGCTTTGCCCCCCACTTTGCTCCTGTTACCTCTTCTGGGATTTCCTCAGGCAGCAACCGACCACCCCTGGGGAAAGAGCTCTCCCGGACCCCGCACAGGAGAGCCAGGCGCACCCCCCCCCCCCCCCCCCGCCCGGGGCTGGCGAGAACCCCGCGGGCTCCCGGGGGATCTGCCGGGGCCGGCGCCCGCGGACGCCGGGGGTCGGGCAGGCGGACCCCGCCGACCCCGCCGGGCGAGCCCCGGCGCGCGTGGGAGCCCGGACCCCAGCGCAGAGGCGCGGTCTCAGAGCCCACCTGGGCCGCGGCTTGGCGTCGCCTTGGCAACCGCCGCTTCCGGCCCCGACCGGAAGCCGCGCGCGCGGGAGGCGCGTCACGGGCGGGAGGCGCGTCACGGGCGCGGGAGGCGCGTCACGGGCGCGGGAGGCGCGTCACGGGCGCGGGAGGCGCGTCACGGGCGCGGGAGGCGCGTCACGGGCCGGGGCGCGGGGGGGGAGGCGCCGGGCCCGGGCCCGCCATGGACGCCGTCGTGCGCTTCGCCGACCAGACCCGGGGCCGCGACCGGCTCTTCAGGTGAGCGGCGCGCAGCGCGGCCTGCGGCTCGGCCTCCGCGGGGAGCCGCCGGCTCCGGAGCTCCGCGCGCGACCCCCTCGCCCTGGACGCTGCGTCCTGCCCGGGGCCCCGCGCCCCGCCCCGCCGTCCCCCCAGCCCCAGCCCGCAGCCCCCAGACCCCGGCCCCGCGGCCCCGCAGCCCGCAGCCCCCCAGCCCCAGCCCGCAGCCCCCAGACCCCGGCTCCGCGGCCCCCCAGCCCCAGCCCCGCCCCGCCGTCCCCCAGCCCCAGCCCGCAGCCCCCAGACCCCGGCTCCGCGGCCCCCCAGCCCCAGCCCCGCCCCGCCGTCCCCCAGCCTCAGCCCGCAGCCTCCAGACCCCGGCCCCGCGGCCCCACACCCCCAGCTCGCAGACCCTAGCCCCCCCAGCCCCCCAGCCCCGCGCCCCGCAGGCCCCAGCCCGCAGCCCCCTGATGACCCCTCTCCACGGAGGACCTCGGGTTCTGTGGGCCCCACCGTCTCCCCGGGAGGTGTGCTCAAGAGAAACTGGGGCCGGCTTGGCGCTCGTGCTGGGAAGCCAGGCCGTGCAGCGGCTGGAGTGTGGGGCGGCTGCCTGTGGACACAGGCCGGGGTCTGTCTCGGGGCGACTGCCCGTGGACACAGGCCGGGGTCTTTCTCGGGGCGACTGCCCGTGGACACAGGCCGGGGTCTGTCTCGGGGCGACTGCCCGTGGACACAGACCGGTGTCTGTCTCGGGGCGACTGCCCGTGGACACAGGCCGGGGTCTGTCTCGGGGCGACTGCCCGTGGACACAGGCCGGGGTCTGTCTCGGGGCGACTGCCCGTGGACACAGGCCGGGGTCTGTCTTGGGGCGACTGCCCGTGGACACAGGCCGGGGTCTGTCCCGGCCGCTGCCCTTCACTGTTCACCGGGGTGACATCTGCTGGGGGTGGGTCTGGGGGCTGCCAGGCTGGAGCCAGAGCCGCAGGAGCCCGGGGAGCCACCTGCAGCCCGGCCCATGCCGTGGCACCCTGGCGAGCAGAGGTGGTGGCCCTGTCCCCGTGGTTCTTCTAGAAACGTGGTTGATTGCGCGTTGCAGCTCTGTTTCACAGCGCTTCCTCCTCTGGGCGTACGAGTGCAACACGCACATGTCAGAATATCCCCAGCTGGCTTTGCAAGGCCCCTCGATGGCAGATGTCGGTGTCATTTGCACAAGTGTTAAACATTTCACATTCCACACCCCACAGAAGACTGAACCCCAAGGTTAGTCATTTACTTAGTGGTGGGGCTGAGAGTTGAAATCCACATAGCTGACTCCAGCGCCCATCTCTTCAACTCCATCTCTTCAACTTCCAAATTTATTGGGTAGATTTTCAAAATGATGGCATTCTCTGCAAGCTTCATTGGGGCAGAACCCAGCAGTGCCAGGGCACTCAGAAATACCCTACAAGCATGTTCAAGGAGGTAGGTTAATGCAAAACTTGATTAGGATCTACGCATCCAGCAAGATCTGAGATCACTGGTCTTCCTTTGCAGTCCCCTCTATGCCTCTGCAGGGTACTCGTGAGCTCACCCCATTCCTACGTAGACCAGATCTGAGAACACGGGAGTCAGTTACTTCACCAGGCCAGCCTGAGCCCGGGGGCTCAGTAGTGCTCAAAGACGTGATTTATCATCTCTCCTTTCTTTTCACTTCACCCCTAGTAACAAGCTCACCAGCTTGGAAAATGCACCACCTATTCACTGAGAGAAAATGTAGCATAAAAGGGGCAGCGGGAGCTGGGGGCTCCCTTGGTGACTAGCCTGCAGGTGCAGGTGGGAGTTAGACTCCATGGCAGGCGCTCAGGGTGTCTCTGTTAGTGGGGTGCTGTGACGTGGCCCCCAGCCATTGGTGTGTTGGTTATTGTTAAACGAGTCCTTTAGTATTTTGTATGAAATACCAATTAGTTTTGAAAGACAAATAGAAAAACATATCTGTACAGATGTATGTGCTGAGCTGTCCTTTTATAAAAATGTGAGCGCTGCTTGGGCTGGATTGGGGTGGCTTTGTTCTGGTTTGAGCTTGTGTCCTGTCGCGTAAGTAGTTGGTTAACTAAGTGAAGTTCATCTTAGGAATCTGAAAAATTGCTCCACACCAGAGAAAATAGGGGACCTGGGCCTGTGTGGGCTTCACGGGAGGGTTTGTGCCGCTTGACTGTGTCCACTTCTCTGTGCCAGCAGAGGCTGGGGGGCCGCACTGTGCCCTGGCTTGCGTCACTCTCACAAGCACTACCCTTTGGCCCCGTGGAGCGGCGGTTGCAGAATCGGGCCCTGACACTTGGCCTTTAGCAGGACAGGTTTCTCCTCCCCTTCCTTCTTGCATCAGGTTTTATTTGATTTTATTTTAAATCATTCTCCTCATTTTTTTTCCATTTCAGAGCCATTCAGTACACATGCATGTTGCTTAGGTATTTGTTAGAGCCTAAGGCTGGCAAAGAGAAGGTGGTCACGAAGCTCAAGAACCTGGAGTCCAGTGCAAGCACTGGCCGTAAATGTAAGTACCCTGTCTCTCGAGGGACAGTGGCTCCTGGCTTAGAACCTGCAGACCTGTAGATCACAAACCCTTTCTCGGGCCTTCCTTTCTGGTCAACAACGTGTACCGAGTAAGTCAGCCAGTAAGGCTGCCCCATGGCACTGCCAAAGTAGTCGAGTGTCTCGCTGCAGCCCATGGACACAGGTGGTGCCACGGCCATCCCCGCTTGGTCAGAACAGTGGAGCCTACATGCCTCAGCTCACCTTTAGCTCTTAGGCCCACCCGCGCTGGGGCACTCCCTGGCAGGAGCTGCTGGCACCCAGGCACCCTCTGTGTGCGCTGGGAGAACAGATCCACTGGGTCCCGACTACCCCCTTGTCCTTCTCCGCAGGGGCTGCCGGGGGGAGAAGGGACAGGCAGGCCCCTTGGGCTGTTTGCAGTGCCGTGTCATGTTGGGGGCGGAAGGTGAAGCAGGTTCGTGCCCGCTTGCCTGACTGTGGTAGCAGATGCTCTGGTGATGCCCTCCGGAGGGCAGCTGTGTTGTTTGATGAGACCCAGAGGGGTTAGAGCGAAGCCAGCGGGTACCAACCAGTTATTATGAACATCTTCATAGGGGTCCAGTCCTGAGCTTTTGGGGAAAGCTGAGATCACGTGGTGTAAACGGTGAGAGGAGATTTTGGTGTCAAACGTGTTGGCCAGGAGCCAAGAGGGGAGGGGCCTGGGTGCTTCCGTGTGTCTAGAGAGGTCCTGTGGGCGGCTTCCTGCAGCGAGGGCTCGGGTTGCGAGGCTGTCGTGTTGGAGGATCACTGAGGAGGCCAGTGTGACAGAAGAGGGCGGGGAGGGTGAGCTGGGCAAGAGCAGAAGCGCTCAGGCTATTACAGCACAAGGGTTCTGCCGAGGTCAGTAGTGTCTGCGGTCCAGAAAGATCACGGGGCTAGTTTTGCAAGGACCTGGGATTGCTCATTGCATTGCATGTTCTGGTTTGTGTGATTTTTGATAAAATCCTACCACACATCTCCCGACACCGTCGGCCTCCTGAGGGTAGCTCCTCTGAGCATTCAGTGACCCTAAGGTGAAGTCCTTTAAGAAAATACTTCTGTGCTCTCCCGAATGTTTTGACTACAGCTCCCCAGATGGCGCACAATGTGTGTTCCTTAGTGCAGCGTCCTGAGTCGTGGAATTGCTCGCTAGGACGTGCCCTGCAGCAGCTGATTTAGTCCAGCGAAGCGTCACGCATGATGGTGGCATTGTTTGCCATGTCCCCTAGCTCCTGGCATCGCCTGCCATCTTCCTGTCAGTGGGGAGCCAAGGGACAAATGGTAACAGTGCCCAGACAGTGACAATGTAGGCCTTAGGCCGCCGAAGGACTCTGGCAGCGGCGCACATGTGTGGCCCTCTAAAGCCGCCACACCCAAAGCTGGCCTGCACCCGGGACTGACTGGCCTGGGGTGCGCTGTACGTCAGGGTCAGGGTGCTCCTGGATGGAGGTGAGGCGGCCCGGGGTCACTGTCTTGTGCCTTCCAGTGTCATTTTGGGGTTCGCAGTATACTGAATGTGCTTCTTTCCTGAACAAAGGCTGCGCCTGCAGGGGTGCTGGGCTGCCGTGCTGATCCGGATGCTGCCTCCCTGCGCAGTGCCGCCCTGCCAGCTCTCACTCAGTCACCGCCACGGGTTCTCCTTGCAGGGTTCAGACTAGGCAACGTGGTGCACGCCGTGCAGGCCACCCAGCAGGGTCTCCAAGCCGCAGAGCTGGTGCCCCGCCTCTGCCTTACCCTCGCCAGCCTGAACCGCGTTGTCTACTTTGTCTGCGACACTGTCCTCTGGGCCACGAGCGTGGGGCTGGCCTCCGGCGTCGAGAAGGACAAGTGGCGCATGCGTGCCGCCCGCCACTACTGCCTCTCCCTGCTGCTGAGCCTGGCCAGGGACCTGTACGAGATCTTGCTGCAGATGGAGCAGGTCACCCGGGACAGGGCGAGGAAGGGGACGCAGGCGTCGCAGGAGCCCCCTGCGTGCAGCGTGGCTGAGGAGGAGACCGAGTGGCTGCAGTCCCTCCTCCTGCTCCTGTTCCGTGCTCTGAGGAGGCACCCGCCCCTGTTCCTGGACACGGTGAAGAATGTCTGCGACCTCCTGATCCCTCTGGACCAGCTGGGCATCTACAGGTCCAACCCCGGCGTCATTGGCCTGGGCGGGCTCGTGTCCTCTGTGGCCGGCATGGTGGTCGTGGCCTATCCGCACCTGAAGCTGAAGACCCGCTGAGTGGCCAGGCCGAGGACACCTGGCTGCTCTCAGAGGCCTCTGGGCTGGGGGACGTGGCGTCAGCACAGACCACTGATGGCCGGACTTGTTCGTGAGAGTGTTCTGTGTGCAGAGGTGGGGCCGGGCCGGAGAAGGGGTGAAGGACTTGAGGGAGAGCGCTGGCATGCTGCAGTGACTCCCCATTTCAGTGTCCCGTTGATCTGCCTTCTGCGGAGCACCTCGCATGTGCGTCACTTAAAGCTTGAAAGAAGAAATCGAAAAAGACCCAGTCACACCAACAGTGCACACTCATCGACCTCCCCACGTCCCAGGCCCAGCCCCTCAGGTCCGGGAGGTCCCCGACTGTCACTCCCCAGCCCCCTCACCGACTAGGCAGCAGGAGGGAGGGGAGCAGACTTAGGCCTCACGGCCCGCCCCTTCGGCACATCCACCTGGAGCGGTTGGCACAGGCGCGTGGTGCGAGGGTCTCTTCCTGAAGCGTGGCGAGCGCTGGGCAGAAGCAGGGGCTGGGGGGGACACTCTCGGGGAGGTAACGGCAGTACCTGGAGGGGCTGTGACCAGAGGACACCACCAGCGCTGGTCCTGCCCGCTGGCCTCTGCCTCTCCAGGTCAGCGCCCGCCCCGCCTGCCCAGCCCGGGGCCTTCATTGCCAGCGGCTTCTGTCCTGCTCTCCACGCGTGCAACCACGCTGAGATGTGCCAAGCAGATTGTTGATTTGATGTCATGTAACAGGCCTGCGCTTCAACATTAATTTTCATCAAGATTTATGTAGCTGAGAAACTTCACGAATACTCTGAATGCAGGAGGGACGCGTTTTCTGAGAAAACAGACTTCATATTTGTGGGGCTCCTGGGGGAGGTGGGAAAAAGGGGGGCTGTGAAGGAGACAGAATCCCGCGTGGAGGGCATTTGCTCAGGTCCCTGTGTCCTGTCTTGGGTGCTGGTTCTTATTTCTGATGACAGATCCCCTCGTGTGGGGGAGGGGAGGTGGAGGAATGGGAAGCCACCGCGTGGAGGCCGTCAACCCTTCTGGGGGGTCATTTCTTGGGAGATGGGGAGAGGACTGTGCACTAAATCAAGTTCCCATAAATGTAACTGAAATTCTTAAACAGCCTGAGGTCCTTGGCTCTCAATTTTTAAAGTGATCCATCAAATTAGGGGATCGGAGAAAACATTTTAGAAATTTTAGCAGAAATGGAAGCTGCTAGATCAGGGCAAGTGAAAACTACTACTTTTCCATTGTCCAGATCCTCTGCAGACAGAGATGATCTTGTCTAATAAATTTCTAGACAGAATTGACTGTGTGTCGTGCAGTGTGTTTGGGAATGGGGGGTGGGTCAAAGGCGGCAGTCCAGGTCATCCCAGGCCGCCCCCAAAATGCGCCCTGGCCCAGGCGACCAGCGAGGAGGGCGAGGTTGAGAGGCCCGAGGTGATGGCAGGACTACCCGGGAGAGGCCTGCTGTACAGCCCTGCCCTGCCGTGGTCTGCGCTTACAGCGGCACGTCAGGGAGATAGCCATCTCGGCGTCCCGTGCTCCAGGCCCGGCGGGTGGGGGCAGCTGGGGAAATGCCACCTCTTCTAGAATTATGAAGACACCTGCATCTCCTTCCTGCCCAGACCCCCAGGCCGAGCCCCGCATTCATCGGGGATGCTGAAGATGAGGGTGTCCTGAGGGGTCCAGCGCCCGCTCACACGGGGTGAGGCTGCCTGAGGGCCAGTGGGAGGCCCCTGTGCCCAGGTGGGTGGGCGCGGGGCAGGTAGGCCTGGGGAAAGAAGAGAGAAAACTCAGCCCATGGAGCTGCTGCCGGGAAGGCCTCGTCCGGGACCCTGCTCGGCCCTCACCAGGCTCACCTCTCACCCAGCTCTGGACTCCCAGCTGGAAGCAGCTGTGTCAGCAGCGCACTCGGGCTCGGAGCCCTGTCCTCCCCCTGGCCCGGAGCCACCAGCCTCTGCACACGCCCTTTGGCCCAAGTGGCACTCAGCCTCCCCTGGGTTGTCTGTCATGAACCTTGAAGTGAGGGCAGAGGCCGCTTCTTTGAATGCACGCGCTGCTGTCCACTGCTGCCTTGCAGCGGGAACGGCCAGCCCGGTCAGGGGCTATCAGACGCCTGTGCGTTTACTCCTCCTGGGAGACGCCCGCTTTACGCCTGGCTTTGTTATACCACAGGTGCGGGACTGAGGCGGCCCCGCCCCTCTCCTGTTGCCACAGGTTCCACTTAGCGGAGCGCCAACGGCAGGCGTCGTTCTGCCAACAGCAAGGAAAATAAGGGCGTCCACCTGTCTGCTGTAGTGAAGAGGCAGAGGCAGTCTGGAAACTGTGGCCGGCCCTGCAGTCCCCATCATCACTGCAGCCGGGGATGAGAACATGGGTCCCGCCTGAGGAGGTGGAGGCCACAGCCCTCAGTTGAGGCGGCTGTGGATCAGGGACGGCTGCCGGTCAACACCGGCACTTCCTCAGACTCAGAGACTCGAGAACAAAACCTGGAGCACCCCCCAACACCCTCCCCCTCCACATCCCGCTGGCGTCTTAGACCAGATAAAGCGCAATCCCTGTCTTGGACTCTGGGAGTTGCCCAGGGCTGGGGTGGGCCCTCGGGCCAGCGTGTTGGGGGGCTGGCAGCCTCCCTCCCCAGGTACCTAAGTGCCCCATTCAGGCGGGATTGCTCCTGTGTGGGGGCGAATCTTCCTGCTTGAAATTCACTCAATTCCAAGTAATAAGGCTTGAGGGAAACTGGAAAAGAGTACCTCAGAATCTTCTAGAAAAGTGTCCAAGGTTACAGAATTATATGGGACGTATCAACACCTCCTTTCTGGAAAACAGGTTTGTTGTTGTTTTTTTTTTTTAAAGATTGATTTATTTATGCATACGAGAACTGGGGTACAGGCCAGAGGTGTGGGGGGTGAGAGGATTCACTGGAGACCGAGGGGAACAGGACAGGCAGACTGACTGAAATCCACTGCTGAGGGGAGCAGTGGGGAGACAGGAGAGGTCTGCTGCGTCCTGTGGGTTGCTCCCTGGCCGGCCAGGGATTGAACTCGTGCTGCAGAGGCTGCGGATCGCTTCATAGGTGTGTCTTCACCCCTTGCACTACCAGGGAGGCCCCTGGAAAACAGTTTTTGAGAGATGGGGGCCAGAGGCACGTCACAGCGGCATTCACGGCTCCGGGACAGTAGCTCCTCCAGGCCTGTGTCTCCTTAGGGCTGTGATCCACCTCCTACTTGGCTTCATCTCCTCACAGAAGCCAGGATATGCCCAGGGGACCCTGGGTCAAGCAGCCAGGGCAACGGGACCCGGCTCTCCCTTCCTCTCTGCCCGCCTCAGCTGGGAGGCCTTAGGGGCATTGCCCAAGACTACCCCCAGCAGCCAGCACTGTCTCGGCCGGAGGAGACGCTCTGCGGTTGGGCTCCGAGCAACTGAGGCGGCATCAGCCAGGGTGAGTGCAGGGGCCTGGGCACCCGGCTTTCCCGGTTTGTTTCTGAGACTTGAGGGGAGAAGTTGAGGGCGGGGATATCTGGGTACCTTACTGAGGACGGAGAGGCTGCAGGGAAAGCCCTGAGCAAGGCGAATGACAGGAGGGCAGAGTGGACACTCCGGTCACTAGCTCTTCCCGAGGCAGCGCAGATGCCGCTCCCGGAGGGGCGAGGGGGAAGGACTGGCAGAAACGCTCATTCACAGGACTCGGCCCGCACCTTTTCCATCAACAAAAACTAACCCTGAAATGTTCTTTCAGTCTCTTTCAAACCCTCACCTGGGGCCTCCTGACTTCATCTAAGAGCCTTCCCGCTTCTAGCTGCCTTCAGTTTTCCTGTCTTCCCCTGAGCCCCACGGGAAACATCAGTCTCGACGATAGGCCGCGGGGCAGCCGATCCCTACGGAACGCTGCGGGGAGGCTGCTCCCCGGAGACACTCACCCTCCGCCCCAGGCCCCTGTTTGGGCCCGTAGGCTCCCAGGCTGCCCAGGGTGTGTGGCCAGGGTCGGTGGGGACTAGCCCTCTGCTGCTGGGCTTGCTGACAGACCCACCCTCTGCTTGCAGCGGGAAGAGCAGGATGGCACTGAACAAGGGCCCGGCCTTGCTGGATGGAGAGTTCCCGGTAAGTACCTGGTGTCTCGGTGCCTGCTGGCAGTGAGGGAGGCCGGAACAGGGACAGGCCCTGCCCCCGCTGTACCCAAAGCTCACGACCCGTGTCTCGGTCACGCTCCTGTCACTGCCTCTGCGCACGGGGTCGTCAGAGGTTCTGGGGAGGAGACGCGGCGCCTTTTAAAAACAGGCACCTCAGGCAAAGGACAGAGACTGGCCGGCAGGGAGACGAGAGAGAGGCACTGGCTTCTGAACTGCGGTTGCTCAAGCCCACAGCCACGTGCCTGGGGGGACCGTTGCAGCCCCGGCCTCGGCGTGGGGCTCGGGCCCTGGGGGCTCGGGCTATGCGAGCAGGCCTCTGGGAGTGGCGTGCACCTGCCCGCGTGGCCTCCGTGGAGCGGGTCAGAGGGCCTGCGTGCCCAGGGCTGTGTGTCTGGCTGGGCCCACTGTGCCCTGCGGCAGGTCTGACAACTTAGGTGTGTTTGGCACCTCCTGGCACCTTCAGGGTCAGCTCGGACTCAGGTGCATCCAGAGTCACAGCTCAGAGAGTGAACCCGAAGGGGCAGACCCCCGCGGCCTCTGCCCTGGAAGGCCGGTGACTACGGCTTGTGCGGACAGAGGCAGGAAAGGGCGATCCCAGCAGGGGGGGCTCCATCCAGGGCCCCCTCCCGCTCTGACACGGCCTCAACCAGCCCCATAATCCTCTTCTAGTTCAGGTTTCACACTCGCCTGCAGGACAAGGAGAGGAAAGATGGCAGCTACCCCGGCCAGTGTCCACAGCCCCCCAAGGGGTCGTGGCGTGCCCTGGAGACTGGAGTGGGCCCGAGGAGTTTTCTCTCTACCTCTCACTAGCCATAAAGCACGTCCAGGTGGGCTGCAAGCTCACCCCCTCCTCCCTGTCTGGTGCCATTTCAAAGCAAATCCCTGAAAGACCATTTCAGGCCCGGGATCTCCTGGCTCAGGCGCTAACCAGGGGTGTCACTGGGTAGGTCACTGTCACCTCTGAGTCCCGCTGTCCCTTTCAGCCAGGGCCTGTCCTCAGCGCACCCAGACAGGGGCCTGGAGGTGGGACCCCTGTCTGTGCTGCCCTCAGTGTGCCTGGAGTCCACCTCCTCTCACTGCACGCCTGAGTGTCCTCACGGGGACGCAGCCAGAGTTGAAAGGCAGCCACAGGCTACGGGGCCCAGGAGCAAGCAGGGACAGTCCTCGACCCCAGCATGCTCAGCCCACACACGGAGTCAGTTCACCCAGGCCACGTCCAGCTGGGTGGGGGACGTGGGCAGGGCGGGGTGGGACCCCTTTGTAAACTAAGGTGGGGACAGGCTATTTTGCAGGGAGAAGTGGCCTTTAAAGGGATTCAGGCCGACTCTGAGCTGTGCAAAGCCCCCCCATGCTGACAGACTCCTCCATGTAGACTGGGGGGGCGGGGGTTCTGCTTAGCAGTGCAGTCCTACAAGGGCACGGGCCACACCGAGGAGCGAGCTCCTTCCAGGAGGCAACCGAGCATGAGCCACAGGTGGGGCAGGTGGGGGCCGCGGGACTCTCCTGCTGCTGCAGCCCCGCGCCCTCATGACTGCGAGCTGGACTAAAGGGACACCGCCCACTGGGGCAGCCCTGACCGTGACCTGGTCATTCAGCTGACCTTTCTGTGTGGGGCTCTAGGCCCTGCCGGGACACTGAGAGGGTAGTCCTGGGAGAGAGACTGGGGCACAGGGGACCAGCTCCCGCTGCTCCCGGGGACGGGACGGAGGCGCGGACGACCCCGCGTGGGGCCGGCAGCTCCCCAGGCGAGGAGGAGAGTTGGGGGCAGAAAAGCAGCGCAAGGTTGTCTGAAGAGACAAGCTCCCCAGACAGAAAGGGCTGCAGGAGGGGAGGGGGCGCTAGGTGGGGGCCCCTGGGCGCAGTCAGGGGCACAGTGCCCCAGAAAGACGGGGAAAGGCATAGCTGAAGCCGCCCAGCCAAGGAGGACTGGCATCTGGGCCAGTCCCGACACGCGAGCCTCCTTCCGGGAACCCCGGGGAGGGGGCGGAAGGGGTGCTGTCTGGCTTGGCCCCTGAGGACAGGCACTGCCTTAGACGTGCTGCAGAGCCTGGGTGTGACCAGGGGATGTGACGGGCTGGCCTGTGTCTATGGGGCGTCCAGAGGCCTCTGGCCCGGGTTCCTCCCAGGTTACTTGGGCCCAGGTTGGTCTCGCTACGGGCCGTGAGACCCCTGAGCCGCCTCCCCGGGAGGCGGGAGAGGGCGGTGGGAGCGAACGCCCGTCTGCCTTCTTTGCCAGGAGCAGGAGAACGTACTGCAGCGGGTGCTGCAGCTGCCGGCGGTGAGCGGAACCTGCGAGTGCCTGCAGAAAACCTACACCAGCACCAAGGACGCCCACCCCCTGGTGGCCTCGGTGTGCCATGCCTACGAGAAGGGCGTGCAGGGTGCCAGCAGCCTGGCCGCCTGGGGCATGGAGCCCGTAGTCCGCAGGCTGTCCACCCAGTGTGAGTCCCGCGGCCCTCGGAGGCGGCCCCTGTGCCCTCGGCTCACAGCTGCATGGTCTGCCCGTCTTGTCAGTCGGTCCGGGAGCTCGCTGCCTGTCAGCCTGTCTGTCTGTCTGCTGTCTGCCTGCTGCCTTCCTCACTCCCATCGCCCCTCTCTGGAGCAATAGCCAGATGTAGGCGTGGAGACCGACCTAGGCCTAGAGCTCGCCTCTCCATGGAGGCCGCACTCACAGCCTGCTGGAGTTCCCGGGCACGGTAGTGGTGGGCCACAGCGCTGGCAGGGAGATGCTGGGCAGTGGTGGGCAGGAGGCCCATGGCACACCCACTTCTCCAAACCCCAGCAGGAACTGGCAGAGCAGGCACAGAGGCAGGGGGCTGCAGGGCTGGTCTGGCAGGACCAGGAGGGGTGTAGGGGGCAGGCCAGCCCTCCGGGCGCAGCAACTAGCGGTACTGGCCATGACCCGCAGGGGCAGCAGGGAGCCAGGAGGCGAGGATGGCGGTGGAGCCCTTACCACACCTGCAGGGGTAGAGCTTTTCTGCCCATCTGATACCAGCCTCAGAGGCACAGCCCTCAACAGGGCTGATGGTCATTCCAGCAGCAACAAGAAGGCCAGGGCCTGCCACGAGGCTGCCCAGACAATCACGGCTGGCCGTCTCCCGGCCCTCAGGCTCCTGAGGCCCCTGGGCCCCCTCACAAGATGCCAAATCATCTGGGCTTTCTGCCGCTCGAGGATTTTGTGAAAATAATAATAATAATAATAAGCAGCAGCTATCTGGAGAGAGTCTGGAAGAGGAGACATGACTGTCCTTGGGAGCAGGGTTCTCCGGCAGGACCGGCCCTGGCATCTCCTCTGACCCTCGCCCCACCTGCCCCGGTCAGCTGCTAAGTCCTGGAGGTCAAAGGGAAGGCCCTAGACTCGGCCAGCCGGGGGTGGCTTGGGGATGATTAGATTCAGCAGCGCAGGGCCTGTAGCTGGCTCCCCAGACCTCTGCACCCCTCCTCACTTGAGTCAGAAGGCTCCCCGAGAGGGGCGGCAAGAGGGAGACCAGTGTCTGCTGTTGGACGCCCTCACTTCTCTTGACAACACCACAAGGTCGCACACTCGATCCACGTGTTGCAACGAGGGGTTTGCTGCTCAGGGGCTGGCGACTCTCCAACCCAGAGCCGCACCCCAGGGGCGTGCTGGGCCTGCGTGCGATGTCCCCACAGAGGGCCCTGGCCTGGTCTCTGGCAGTCACCGGGGATGGGCGCTGGTGAGGGCTCACTGTGGGGTGGGGTGGGGTGCACCTCACTGGCCCCTTCTTTCCAGTCACGGCTGCCAACGACCTGGCCTGCCGTGGCCTGGACCACCTGGAGGAAAAGATCCCGGCCCTGCAGTACCCTCCTGAGAAGGTGAGCCCCTTCCTCTCCAGAACGCTCCCCACACTGCTGTCGCTGCCTCTCAGGAGGCTGGAGTGGGGCGTTTGGGCGTCAAGGCGGGGGTCTTTGGTGCTCCCTGCCAGCTCTCCAAGCTGCCTCCTCTCCCCGTGGAGCCAAATGAAGCCAGGCTTCCTGGGACCAGCGGGCACAGGCCCAGAGCAGACTCAAGCAGGAGCTGGGGTGGACCCCACGGCTCCTGATGCCAGGCCCGGGGCACTCTCGGGCCATGCTGCACCCCTTGGTGACCCCGGTCCCCTAAGGTCATCCGACCCAGGACTGCAGTCCCAGGTATGCAAGATCAACCCTTTCTGGGCCACGAGACTGAGCAGGCCCCTCACCTGGCCACAGCCACGACAGCTGCTATGGCGGGGGCCAGCCAGGCCTCGGAGAAGCGCCCTCTCAGCTCACTGGCCACATCTACCCACACCCACCCCCTTCATGGGGCCGCCCCCGCACCAGGGCCATAACGGGGGCCCCAGAGCCTCTCGCTCCCCACTTGCTGAGCCTCTGGAGTAGACTTTACAGAGGAGAAGACCAGCAACTTGCTCTGGCTCCAGGCCTGTGCTCCCCGCCCCCCACTTTCCTGGAAGTGCAATGGCGTGGTCACAAATGAGCTCCAGGGCTAATCGGAAAAGACAGATGGCTCCATGCAGAGCTCGTGCAGGGCCCTCGCCGCATCCCTGGGTCCTGTACGGGCGGACAGGCATGCGGGCAGTCCCCGAGGAAGGGCAAAGGGGCCGGCCGAGGAACCAGGGTGTCGGGACAGGCGTCACCAGGGCTGCCTCTGGGGAGTCCTCCCGGCTGGCTGGGTCCCTACCAGGCAGACACAGGGCGTGAAGGAGCCAGGCGTCCTGTGTTTGGCACAGGGAGGGCTGGGGCCCTTTCGCTTCAGAGCCCAGTTAACCCAGGTGCCCACATATTGGCCCCGTCCCCTGGATCTTTAAACGAGGACTTCCTAGAGGCTGGGCTCAGGGCCTGGGGCCCTCCGAGGGTAGCCCCATGCCCTGACCCCTTGCCACCCCCCCCAGATCGCCTCTGAGCTGAAGGACACCATCTCCTCCCGGCTCCGCAGCGCCAGGAACAGCATCAGCGCGCCCATTGCCAGCACTTCCGACAAGGTCCTGGGGGCAGCCCTGGCCGGTTGCGAGCTCGCCTGGGGTGTGGCCAGAGACACTGCCGAATATGCCGCCAGCACGCGCGCCGGCCGCCTGGCCTCTGGCGGGGCTGACCTGGCCCTGGGCGGTGTGGAGAAGGTGGTGGGGTTCCTCCTCCCCCCAGCCAAGGGAGAATCAGGTACCTGCCCTCAGGGGCTGACAGGCCCTCTCTGGGGGGTGCGCTGGCTTCCCTCGCTAGCTGGGCGATAGCCAGAGGCAGTCGAGGTGCTCTCAACCACTGCTCTGGCACAGGGAAGGCCTGTGGGGCTTTTGGGGGGGGGTCTGCCCCACCTTGCCCACTCTCCCCACTGTATGTGGGAAAATGAGGTGCCCAAATCACCAGGCAGCTTGCGGGGGAACTGGGTCACTGCTTTCCACCTCTCATCCGCTCTTCTCTCTTGTCCCCCAATCCCTGCCCAGTCCCTGCTCCAGGACACCAGCGTGGCCAGCAGCCGCCCAAGGCCAAGCCGAGCCTCGTGAGCAGGGTGGGCACCCTGGCCAACACCCTCTCTCAGCACACTTTCCAGACCACAGCCCGGGTGCTGAAGCAGGGCCATGCCCTAGCCATGTGGATCCCGGGGGTGGCACCCCTGGTGCGTATCTGACCCCACCTTGTAGCCTTCGGGCTGCTGGCTTTACCCTCTGCCCCCACCCCCCACCCCCGCCCCTGTCCTGGGAACATCCTTTCTTCCAGCCTGGATGGACGGGGTGCCCTCCCAGTTGCAGGTGAGGAGAAAGGACAGGCCGCCACCCCAGGGCAGGCATCTGTCTCTCCCCGCCCCTGAGCCCACCCCAGTGGGCCCTCCCACTGATGAGGGAGCAGGGACCCCATCTGCCTTAAAAAGCAAGACACAGACCCTCTTCTGTTGGGTAGACCACCCCAGCTGGGCCTGTCACTGACTGTCCCCAGGTTTCCTTTTAGAGCCTTCTAACGTGCATCCCACTGCACCCCAACAAATCTGCCTTTTCTAGGCCCCGGTGAGACCAACTCTCTGCGCTGCATGCCCACACTCTGGGGATTTCAGCAGAGATAGGCTGGCCATACCCCATACAAAACTGTAGTGAGAAACTGAGGCCAAAAAGGAGATTAAAGTATTAAAGCATGCAGGTCAGCAAACAAGAGACCCGCTCTCCAGGCATCATTCAAATAATGCTTTCAAAAGATCATTAGGTCTGGCTCCTCCAATCCCGCAAATTTTGCTGAACACCTCCTCTGTGATTCCAGTGGGAATAGGAGAGGGGAGTATCTGGTCAGTTGCCCAGGGGGGCTGAGTGACCAGGCACCCAGCCTGGCCTGCAGGGGCCCAACCTCAGGCTTCACCTTCACATAGAATAGAATGGTGACAGGTGTTCCTGTCAGCTTGACCCTTAGCCAAGAACAGGAAGTAACACAAACGTCCACCACAAGTAGAATGGGTATACAGTAGCATGCTTCTGCAGTGGAACATTACACAGCAATGAAAAAGCAGGGCCAAGTTCAACATGCGGTAACAATGAATCTCAGAAGATGGTGCAGAACAAAAGAAGCTCTTCACAAAAGAAACTGTTCATTGTCTCAGTCCATTTACACCAAGTTCCAGTGTAGGCAAGGCCAATGCATGGTGACAGAGAGCCGTCATCTTCGGGAGTATGACTGGGAGGGAGGGGACAAAGGGTGTTGGCAAAGTCCTGTACCGTGACCCGCAGCGGCTCCACGGGTATGTGCCTACACAGCTCAGGACGCTGCCCCCAGACCCGTGTACCTGTGTGTTTCTCACTCAATAACGAGCTCTCATTACAGTCTGCTAGGCCAGGCCCTGCTCACCTTGCCCCACGCCAGGCCCTACCCTGGGCCTTCCCAGGGCTGTGAAGCCAGCGTCCCCCTTCTGTCCTGCAGAGCAGCCTGGCCCAGTGGGGTGCATCAGCTGCCATGCAGGTGGTGCAGCGGCGGCGGGAGAGTGAGGTACGGGTGCCCTGGCTGCACAATCTGGCGGCTGCCCTGGAGGAAGACCACGATGACCACACGGACACGGAGGGGGAGGAGACGGAGGAGGAGTCAGAGCCCGAGCTGGAGGAAGACAAGCTCAGTGAGGTGAGGGAGCCGGAGCCACGGGTTCCTCAAGGACAGGCGGGGGTGCACAAGCTTACCCCGCCCCCAAGCACCCAGCTAGCAGCGGCTCCCTTCCATGCTGCTCTCAGCTGACCCTCATGACTGCCCCTCAGCTAGGAGGGCACAGGCTGTTCTCATTTGCAGATGAAGATGCTGGGGTTCAGTGAGGGGAGCGGCCCGCTCAGCATCACACAGCCAGTGTGGAGCCAGGCCTGTGGTGTTTTGAGCTGATCCCCACATTCTCCCCTCACTCTCTCCCTCCAAGCTCCCCCGATCAGCTTGGAGGTCGGGGCGGGCAGGGGTCGCTGCAGGGGCTCTGACCTTGTGTTTGCTCCCAGGTGGCGGCCGGCCCTGGCCCACGAGGCCTGCTGGGCAGTGTGGCACACACCCTGCAGAAGGCCTTGCAGAGCACCATCTCTGTTGTGACTTGGGCGCCCGCTGCCGTGCTGGGCACTGCCGGGAGGGTGCTACATCTCACGCCTGCCCGTGCCGTGGCCTCCATCCCTAAGGGCAGGGCCATGTCCCTGTCAGATGCACTGAAGGGCGTGACTGACAACGTGGTGGACACCGTGGTGCATTATGTGCCGGTGAGTACTCTGGGGCCAGCCGACCAGCTGCTGTGGCTGCGACCTCGTCTCCGGCTGGCCTCTCTGATCCCCGGAGGCCTGGAAACATCTGACTCTGGGCTGGGCCACAGGCCTCTCTCATGCCCAATGGCTGGAGGAGAGGCCCCTGTCATCCATTTGGGGGCCCCAGGGCCCAGCCCTCACCCTTGGTGCCCATCTGAGGGGCCGAGGCTGGGCAGGGGTGTGAGGGAGGCCCGCAAGCTGCCAGGTGGCCACACAGTCATTCCCCACCTGTCCCCCACGGGAAGAGCCCAAGGGACACCAAATACTACCCTTGGGTGGGGAGAGGCGGTGTCCCTGGACTTTTCTTCCCAGAGGAAGGGACAGGTTGTGCGGACTCTAGGGCGCTGGTCAGGACAGGAGCCCCCCCAGAGGTGGAGGTGGGGGCGCTGGTTACTCAGCCGCTCACTCCCAAGTGCCAGCCAGCGGGCCGGACAGGCAGGCTGGACCCCTGGGCCGGGGCAGAGCCGGGCAGGGGACCGAACCCTCCCTGGGGCAACATGGGGCCACGGGAGGGTCATTTCTGACCGCGCACCCCGGGAGGGTCCCCGGATCAGAATCTTCAGGCGTCTGGAAGGCGGGACCTCCGGGGCGGCGGAGCCTCTGGGGTCGCGGCTGCACCTCCCTCCCGGCCGGGCTGCCCTCCCGGGGGCGGCGGGGGCGCGGGGCTCGGGGGCCGCCCCTGACCGCGCCCCGCAGCTCCCCAGGCTGTCGCTGATGGAGCCCGAGAGCGAGTTCCTGGACATCGAGAACCGGCCCCGCGAGCCCGAGCGCCGGGGGTCCTGGGCGCGGCCGGCCAGCCCCGAGCCCCCGCCGCGCCCGCCCCAGCCCCGCGGCGGCCTGCGCGCCCGCAGCCTCGGCCCGGAGGAGCGCGGGGACCCCCCGCGCCCCGGCCTGCCCGGCGCGCCCCGCGAGAAGCCGCGGCGCAGGGTCAGCGACAGCTTCTTCCGGCCGAGCGCCCTGGAGCCCGTGCTGGCCCGCGCGCTGCCCCGCAAGAAGAGCTGAGCCCGCCGGCCGCGCCCCGCAATAAAGCGCTTACGCCGCCGAGCAGCCTGGCCTCGCCTGCGCCCCGCCCCGCCCCGCCCCGCCCCGCCCCCGCCCCGCCCCCGCCCAGCCCCGAGCCCCTACCCCAGCCCCCGCCCCGCCCCCGAGCCCCTGCCCGCCCCGCCCCCGCCCCGCCCGCCCCCGCCCCCGCCCAGCCCCGAGCCCCTACCCCAGCCCCCGCCCCGCCCCGCCCCGCCCCCCCCCCCGCCCCGCCCCGAGCCCCTGCCCTGCCCCCCGCCCCGCCCCGCCCCGCCCCGAGCCCCTGCCCCCCCCCAGCCCCGAGCCCCTAGCCCAGCCCCCGCCCCGCCCCGCCCCCGAGCCCTGCCCTCCCCTCCCCGCCCCGCCCCAAGTCCTGCCCCGCCCCCGCCCCGCCCCCAAGCCCTACCCCGCCCCCGCCCTGCCCCCAAGCCCCTGTCCCCGCCCCGCCCAAGCCCCGCCAGCCCCGCCCAAGCCCCGCCCCTGAGCTACCCCGCCCCCGCCCCGCCCCGCCCCGCCCCCGAGCCCCTGCCCCGCCCCCGCCCCGCCCCCAAGCCCCTGTCCCCGCCCCGCCCAAGCCCCGCCAGCCCCGCCCAAGCCCCGCCCCTGAGCCACCCCGGCCCCGCCCCGCCCCCGCGCCAGCCCCGCCCCCCCACGCCCAGCGCCGGGGTCAGCTTCGCCGCAGCCCGGGGCCAGGCCGAGGCCCCGACCCCGACCACAGCCCGCTCGGCGCCGGCCGGGTTTGTCACCAAAGGTGGTAGCGCCCCCGTTCCAGGGTCCCCTGCGCGAGTCCCCGCGGAAGACGGGCCTGCCTCGTGGCGCCCCTCCTAGAACCCCTCCCGGGGCCGCTGTCCCCCCACCCTGCGTGTGGCTGACGCCCGCTGCGAGGGGCGCGGGGGTCGGGAGAGGCCGGCGGCGCCATGGGGGGGGGTAGCTCCCCCGCCGGGGATCGAACTCGCGCTGCAGAGGCTGCGGACAGCTTCCTAGGTTGCGTCTCAACCCCTTGCGCCCCCAGGGAGGCCCCCAATTCTCTTAGAAGCTGCAGAGCCCAAGACGGGAAGCTGCTCAAAGACACGCACAGAAAACTCGCACGGCGAAGGCCCGGCTCCTGCCCGTCCCCGGAAGGATGGGGGCAGCAGGGAGAGAGAGTAAGATCCCACTTTGCAGTTTGGTCTCACTTTCAAAAAGATCTTACTTTTCGTTTACAGAAAACGACTGTAGTTTCTGATCACTGCATTGACTATTTTAAATAAGAAACTTAGATTTTTGATGAAACCTATCACTTCCAATGGCCAATAAGAAGTTCAGAAATTTTGCAACCGCCTGGCAAGCTTCCTTTATAGCTGACTGGAAAGTCCAAAGGAATCTTGACAAAGCCAAGCGAGCCTGATCCCAGAGGTCCCAAGTGCGATCCGAAGAGGCCAGCGAGGTCAGAGGAAGAAGAGCCTCCTTCAAGCGGCGCGCGCTCTCTTCAGCTGACTCTGCACCCCATTTTCACAGGGACTGGTAGATACTGCATCAGCTGTCTGACTAAACACATAAAAATAAGAAAAATGCCAAACTTTTAAATACCCAAGACCCGATTCCAGATACTTGTTTGAATTCCTTACACAGGCCCAATGTTCAGATTCACAAAGCTATTTGCACAAAGTGAGGACCAGGTAAGGGAAGTAGAAGCCCCGGTCCAGGCCCACTGCTCTCCCTGGGACAATCCAACCCTCCCAGCCACCTGCCAGTGTCCACAGAGCCAGGGTTGTCCTAGGCTGCCCACAGCCAAAGCACCTGAGCTTGCCCTGGATGTCAGGTGAGACTGTAGAAGAGGATCGTCCCAAGGAACTCATGCCCGAGGCAGCCAGTGTGGAAAAGGAGCGCTGCCTGGCCTTAGGGTTGGGAAAGCACCTGTCTGTCCCCACTGTCAGCTGCTCCTGGGCTCCTGCAGGGAAACGGGGAGAGGAGCTGCTTCCTAGACATGGGTTGGCAGCTACAGGTCTCAACGCAGTCAATACTGTCCCCAAGGGGCTTTCAGATGAGACAAATACGGCACCTCTCACCATCTTAACCACATCCCGGGCTTCCAGAAATGAACAGGAGACTCCAAATACCAGACACCCAACGGAAATACCCAGTGCTTCCCACTTCCCACTTCCCCAGGCCCGACACACCACGGGAGCCCCAAATTGAGGGAGACTCACAGACTCCCTCCCAAAAGGAGGGGAACTAGACTCCCTCCCAGACGGGGACTCTGATTCCTCCCAAATGTGCGCAGGCAAGGGGCGTGGCGTGCACCCGGGGAACTGACACCAAATGCCAGGGGACCGTGGTTCTCTACCCGGGTTCCATCTCCTCCAAGGTGAATCCAGGGGGCAGAGAAGAGCTGTGCCTCTCCCGGGGAGGACTTGGCATGTTCCCCAGAGGAAACACCCCACAGCTGCTGGGACTCTCCCTCCTCGAGAGAGGGCACTCCCTCTGAGCAAGGGGGTCAGGCATCCCCCCAGGATGCCCAGGCGATGGGGGTAGCCTGGCACGGCACTGCGGGCAACTGCTCCATCTCTGGGAAGTCAGAGTTGGGGCTGGCAGAGCCAAGTGGCATCCAACTCCTGTCTCTGGCCTGCCCCCATTGGCCCTGACGGCGGCCTCAGTTTCCCTCCACCGATAAAAGGAAACCGAGTTTGGGGGAAAGGAAAGTGGTTGAATTTGTGGACAAAGGAGGAGGGCAGCAGCCTCATGTCTGACAGGCCCCGTCCTGCTCTGGGCAGAGGGCAGGGTCTTTATGCAAAGGGGAAACGGGAGGCTGAGGGAGGGTCTGCAAAGGGGAGTGGGAAGGGGTGGGCCCGGATGGGCGAGCTCCAGGCTGCTTTCCTCAATTCCTGGGAAGGGGAGAAGACACGGCTGTCACACCAGGGGGGAACTGCCAGAGATGGGGAGACCAACTTGCGCCTCCTCCCTGAGGGACCTGTCACTTGCAGCTGCATCAGATGCGCCCCAGCAGCTCACACAAAACCTCACATTCGTAATAAACGCTTCTTTAGCTACACGCTTCCCCTTTTATTTTTTTAGATTTTTTTCTTTATGCACACAAGAGCTGGGGCGCAGGCCAGAGGTGCGGGGGTGAGAGGATTCACCAGAGACAGAGTGGGGAGCAGAACAGGCAGATGGACTGAAATCAACGGCTGAGGGGAGCAGCAGGGAGGTCTGCTGCGCCCTGTGGGCTGCTCCTGACCCGCGGGGGTGGACTCGTCCTGCAGGGGATCTCCAGAGCTGGGGATCTCCATCTGCACCCCCTGCCCCCCGGGAGGCCCATGTCATGGTCCCCAGTTCTCACGGGGAAGCTGAGCACGACCTGTGCTTTAGGAGAGACGGTGCCACCATGGGGATCACGATGGAGAGACTGAGCTCAGGACGGCGTCCTCCTGCCCCCAGGACGGTGTGGGGGCTCCTGACCCCCAGCTCCTCCCTGCGCGGGCAGCTGCTGCCCGGCAGGCTGTCCTGGTGCCTCCCCAGGCCAGGGCCCCTCTGCCCGACCACTCTCAGCAGAGGCCGCGCACCTCAAGGCCCCAACTGGCCTGCGACCCTGAGACGCCAGGGTGGCTCCAAGCAGAGCAGGGGCTCACACACCCCGCCCGCCCTCCCTGGATCTCCAGCTGCTGCATCCCCAGGACTCCCCAAATGCTCTCAGCACCCCTGGCCCTGGTCACACTCGCCAGGGGGTAGAGGGTCACCTGCACCCTCTGCTCACACCCAAACCCCCAGAAGCAGCCTGTGCCCCAAACACGCCCTAGGCAGAGTGGTGAGGTCACTTCTCTGGGAGGACATCCCCCCTCTAGCCACAGGCAGATGGTGAACACGCCCACGGCCAGGAAATGCAAATCAGATCCCCAGACACCCCAACAGGCACGCAAGCCCTGGGCACCCCGCATCCCTCATGGAGAAAAGTCCGCACCTGCCCCAGCTGAGCTGAGAAGCCTCAGGTGCAGCCTCAGGAGAGCCAGACCCCGCCCCCTGACTGCGCAGGCACCAAAGCGACACCTTCAGAACCGCGGGTAGGTCGCGCCAGAAACCCCCTGGACCCTCGAACACCTGGACACTCTGCCCCCTACACCCATTCCCCATTCCTGGTACCTTATTTCCAGCGGTTGTTTCTCTTCCCTCCTTGCTCTATGCCACAGGCTTTATTATCTCAGCCCCCCAATTCAGCTGGGGGATGAGGATTTCCACCTGCATTCAATTATTTTATAATTATTATTTAATAATTATTTAAGAATCATTCAACTATATACTAATCATTTAATGATTTAACCATAATTATTATTTAATAATTACTACTAATAATTATTCAACAATCATTTAATTATTTAATTATTATTTAGTAATCATTTAACAATCATTAAATTCTTTAATAAATATTATTTAATAATCATTTAATAATTGAATATTCAATTATTATTTAATAATTATTATTTAATAAACATTTAATAATCATTTAGTTATTTCCTAATCGTTTAATTATTTTATAATTGTTATTTAATAATCACTTAATTATATAATAATGATTGAATCATATAATAATATTTGAATAATATTCAAGTAATAATATTTGAATAGGTCGACCTGCTCTCCGGTCCCAGCCGAGCCCGGGGGCTGAGGAGGTCGACCTGCTGGCCGGCTCCAGCCCAGCATGGGGGCTGAGCAGGTGGACCCGCATTGCGGCAGGCCACCTGCATTGTGACACCAGCCAGGTCTGGAGGCTGGGAGTTTGAGCTGCATTGCGGCCCCAGTCTGTCTGGCAGACGGCCGACCCCCTCGGCCTCCGGACTGTGCTGGGGCCGGGCTGCTGGCCGACCCCCTAGGCTTCCGGGCCTGGCTTGGTCCGGGCTGCCGGGCGACCCCTCGGACTCCAGGTGGGTATGCTTATGCGGCACAACTGATTCGGGGGGCTGAGAAAATAAAGGCCATGGCAGAGAGCAAGGAGCGAAGAGGGGGTTATTAAACAATTAAATGCTTATTAAATAACCATTAAATAATAATTATTAAATAATTAAATGGTAATTATGTAGTCATTATGTTATAGGGCAGCCCCGATACAAAACGGGGTGCCTGACTGTGGGTCCTCACCCGCGTGCTTAAAAGGACTTACCAATGCTCTACTGCAGGCGCACGCACAAGGTTAATAAAAGGTTTATTGACAAGGGAAGGGGAAACGAGGAAATGTACAGCTCAGGGAGAAAAGTGGGAGACAAAGTTTTAAATGCGTCCTACCCGATCCGCGGATCAGGAATCCCAAATGGCACCTGAGAGCTGGCCGCAGCCAGGAGCCTTGAAGCCAGGAGGCGAGGGAGAGAGTGAGCACCCCAAGGCCCACGTGTCTGGTTTTTATAGCCAACCTGGCTGCCCAACTCCACCCTCAGGTCCCAGCCACCCTCCCTTGGTGGTGATGGGATTTGTCTTTCCCAGAGTCTTGATGGCTTTGGTCTGGAGTGGGGTGGAGTCCACAAAGCCTGCATGGAATTAGCTCAGGACATCCTCTCCCCCTAACAAAATCATTTCCTTAGGTCATTTCCCAGTTACTATTGGGAATTACTATTGAATTGCTATTTCTTTTTTTTTTTTTAAAGATTTATTTATGTATTTATACAAGCACTGGGTACAGTCAGAAGCGCGGGAGGGTGAGAGAATTCACCAGAGCCAGAGCGGGGAGCAGAGCAGGCAGAAGGACCGAAGGACACTGCTGAGGGGAGCAGCGGGCGGCAGGAGAGGTCTGCGCGCCCTGTGGGACCCTCCTCCGGTGGCCGGGGAGCAGCCGGGGATCGAACCGGCACTGCAGAGGCTGCGGGCAGCCTCACAGCCCAGCGCTCAACCGCTGCGCCACCAGGGGAGGCCCGAATTTGTCTTTTTGATTGCAGAGTAATATTCCGTGGTGTAACTATACCACAACATTTTGATCCATTTATCTGTTTTGTGGCATTTGAGTTGTTTCCATACCATGGCTACTGTAAATAGTGCTGCAATAAACACAGGAGTTTAGGTTTCCTGTTTTTTCTGTCCTTGGGTAGATTCCTAGGAGTGGAACGCTGGATCATATGTAGACCTGTTTTCAGTGTTCTGAGGACCCTCCACACATCTGCCCATAGTGGCTGGACCAGTTTGTGCTCCACCAGCACTGTCAGAGGCTCCTTTGTCTCCTCTGCTTCTCCAGCATTTCTTGTTTCCAGTTTTTCTTTTTTAACGTGGAGCCTTCTCACTGGAGTGAGGTGGTAGATCATTGTGGTTTTGATTTGCATTTCCATTTTTGCACTGGGTTGTTTGTTTTTGTTGAGTCATGTAAGCTCTTCGTATATCTTTGGTATCAGTCCCTTATCTGTCATAGGTGTGCCGCTATTTTCCCCCATTCGGCGGGTGTCTCTGTGTTGATGACCGTCTCTAGCTGTATCCCTAGTTGTGTACATTCTCCCCGGTCACCTTGCTTCTGGAGAAGAAACCTCAAAGACGTTTCTGAGCATCATGTCATGGAGTGTTTGCCTATGTTGTCTTCTGTGTGTTCTACGGTGCCAGGTTTCACATGCAAGCCTTTCATCCACTGGAGTTGGTTTGTGCATGGTGTGAGGTAGTGGTCTAGTTGCATTCTTTTGCATGTTGCAATCCAGTTTCCCCAGCACCGTTTATGGAAGAGGCTATTCTTGTCCCAATGTATAGTCTTAGCTCCTGTGTCATAGGTTAGTTCACCATTGGTCTCTGTGTCTGTTTTTGTTCCAATAATGTTTTCATTATAACAGCTTTGTAGTATTCTTTGATGTCTGGGAGTGTAATACCTTGTGGGTCTGCTACCCCTAAATATCAGATTGGTGCGAGCCAGGCTACCTCGAAGACGTTTCTGAGCATCATGTCATGGAGTGTTTGCCCATGTTCTCTATGGTGCCAGGTTTCACATGCAAGCCTTTCATCGGGGGCTCGCGTCAGTCCTGGGGGCTGGAGTGTGGGGTCCCCGCGCCGGGCCCACAACCGGCTGGACCCCGCGGGGCCGCTGCGGCACCCCACGCTCCAAGACCCGCCCCTCCCACAGCGCCTGGCCCCGCCCACCACGGCGAGCCCCGCCCACCAGCCCCACCCACCGCTCGAGCCCCGCCCACCAGCCCGCCCACCGCTCGAGCCCCGCCCACCAGCCCGGCTGTGGACGCCGCGGGCCTCGGGGCGCGGGTCCTCTCCTCGCGGGCAGCGCCGCGCCCTCCTTCCGACCCGCGCAGGAAGCAGGTGACCGCGGCGTGGGGCGTGGACGCCGGCGAGGCGGGAGGGCGGCCCGAGGGAGGGGTGCGGCCGCGAGGGCGGCGCCGGGACCCCGGGAGCGGGCGGGACCCCCGGGGCCTCCCGCAGCCTCCGGGGCGCGCGCGGCTCCGCCGGGTGGACGCGGTTGGTCTCCGCCCGCGTTGGGGGGTGTGAGGTCGCCCTCGCGCCCCCGTGGAAGGGCAGTGGCCTGGGAGGAGGCGCATCCCTGACCTCACGCCTCCTCCCCAGGGGAGTCGAGTCAGAGTGTGGGGTGTCGGCCCCCCAAAGCATTTGGCCCCCAGGCCCCACCCCTCCCTTGACCGCGATGACCGCCCGCAAGTGGGCACTGAGCGCTTTGCAGGGGGAGAACAAGGCGGGGTGGCCTGCACTCCCAGGCACGCCCTGTGGCCGTGCTGCTCGGGGGACTGGCCTTCACCCCCTCGAATAGCTACAAACGGGACAGCAGAGCTGGAGTGTCCTGTCCTCCTCCTCAGGGCAGGGCTCAGCTTGGGTCCGGAGTCCATGTGCGGAGCCCCACAATGCAGACCCCGAGGGGCAGGAGGGAGGCACAGCACACCACACACCAGGGCTTCACCCCAGGCTGCAGAGGCAGGAGCTGGAGAGGCCCCAGAGGGAGGGAGCAGGGTGTCCGCAGAGGCAAGGGCTCTTTCAAGAGAAGAGGCCCCACTTCCCTCTGGACAGGGACTTCCCTCCCCGGGAGCCTCAGTCCTGGATTGCTCTCCCTGGGCCCAGCAGCCGATTCTCCAGTTACCTGCTTAGTCTGATTCCAGATGGACACCTTGCCAGGGGTTGCGCTTGTGTGGAGCCTGGGTGAGAGTGAGTTCTGCGTGGCCCTCCGGATCCCCTCTGCCTTCAAGGACCACTGAGGTACGTGACCTGGGTCAGCTTTGTATGGAGACAAAATTTACTCGAGCAAAGGCAACAAGACAAAACAGACACAACCATGGAGGGCACTGACCGCCAGGCCACTCAGGTACCTGTTTGTCCTCAGCTCTTGTCTGGAGAGTGGAGGGTGGTTCAGATGGTTTCTGACCCCACTAGGCTCTTGGGGAATGGACCGGTCAGTAGATTTCCTCAGAAGCCCCCACCCCCAGCCCCAGGGGAAGTGCAGAATGAGTGGCGGCTACTTTTGTCCTCTGTGGCTGCTGAGATGTGATTCACAGGAAATGACCGACTCACCCTGGTAGACGCAGGGCCTCTCCCCTGTGTGTCTGGTGTGTGATTAGGTGTGACTTATGGCCGAAACCTCGCCACACTCCCTGCAGACACAGGGCTTCTCCCCTGTGTGTGTCCCCTGGTGTGTGCTGAGGTGTGACTGCTCATGGATGCCCACCCCCTCCATACTCGCCTGTTGTAGTTACTGACAATCCTACCCCAGTGAATAATTTGCCTGTGTCCTTTGGATTCTCTCTCTGGCCTGGGCTTGGCTCTCCCTCCGTCACTCTCTCATGCTCCCTAGAGCTCCACTTTTGGCCTGTTGGCAAGTTGGAAAAGGCCTTTGAAATGTTCTTCTGCCTTATCCTTGCAAGCAAAGGTTTGGGCCTTTCTCTGACCTTTTGACTTTCGAGTTTGTCATTCCCGCTGTGGGGGAATGTGCCCGGGCACATCCAAAGTCCACTCCACACAGCTAGTTCATTCTTAACCTTCCTACAGGACTCAGAGGATGAAACCCCAATTCTTTTCTCTTACCCCGTTTTTGTCTAGAGTGCTGTCCAGAAGTACTTGCTTCTTTAGGAAGGTTCTCTGGTCTCCGGGCCTGCTCGGAGCCACTGGTGTTCAGCAAAGCGGCTGTTCCTGACATTTCCTTCAAACTAGATTCACTACTTACTGCAGCTCTGGACATTCCCTGCAATGCGAGAGTCACATGAAAAGACAAGGTTCGTTTCTTTAGTCAGTCAGGGCTTGTGACGTGTTCTCACGTGGAGAACTTCAGTCAACACCTCAACAACCCTTGTAAATAATGAAGGCGTCTGATTCTAAACGTAAAAGAAAGGGCTTATGTGGGTAATGAATGCAGGGCGGAACCCCATGTCTTAAGGCTCTTTGCCTTCCACTTTCTCTCAGATTTCTCCATGAAAGTGGAGGAAAGGAGAGTACACGGGCAGACTACCTGGACAATCAACAAGGTCTGTGAAGGAGGGTAAAGCCTTAAAGAGCACATGGGGCCTCCTCTGGTGGCACAGGCAGTTGAGGGCTGTGCTGTGAAGCTGTTCACAGCCTCTGCAGCGCTGGTTCAATCCCGGCCGGTAAGCGAGGGTCCCACGTGGCGCGGCAGACCTCTCCTGTCGTGCCCGCTGCTCCCCTCAGCCCTAGTGTATTTTGTCAGTCTGCCTGTTCTGTTCTCCGCTCTGTCTCTGGTGAATCCTCTCACCCTCCCTTGCATCT